CGGCTGCAAGATAACTGACCAATCAGAGAGCTATTCGCGGTAACTTTACGATTGCGTTAATGAAACTCGGATTTTACACTCTGAAGTCTCAGAATGACTTGAAAAAATGTTGTTTAAGAATAAAAATAAGCTATAAACATAACAATCAGTATATGTGCGTTACAATTGTTATGCAAGTTCTTATCTGCAAAGCAACAACATAAGTGTAAAATTAACAATGAAAATAGCCATTATTTTTTAAATGCCACTAGCCACTAGTACTTCTAAACGTGTAGAAGAAAAGTTTCACGTTGATAGTTGATCGTAAATTTTTCTTTTAGCGAAATATTACACAACACTTTAATATGTGTTTAAAAAGTTATCTACGGTACGTGTGTAATATTAAATAATGTTAAAATATTTATAATTTTTCTTTACTTAGGGCTGATTTTTCAATGGTTAGATAATAGTTACCTGGGGAATAATTATGATGCTGTCGCGTCAGAATGTTTGTATAAGACAGTGACAGCAACAACTTTATTCCTCAGATAACATTTACCTGACCATAGAAAAATCAGCCCCAATTTAAATAAAAATGTGAACAACTGAATTATTGAATAGTCTAACTTGGTCCTTTGGCCCCCCAGTCAATTATTACATTTAAGTAACAAACAGACACACATAATATTTGTTTATAGATAAACTATCATTGCAATAACAACCAATCATGGAACCCGTCACCATTTGAAACTTATCAGCCCCTAGGGATGTGGTTAGAGGCGGTATTTTGTAAAAAATATCGATTTACCGATATGAAACCACACATTTATCGGTATTGACACAGCCCTAGTGCGAGCTCACATTTAAAATTCATAGAATATATTTGTTTATGTTGAAATTTCTATTGCACTGTGTCTTTCGGTTTCTCAGAATTGATAAACGTATAAAAAATCTCAAGTTGATTGATACAGGAAAATAAAACCTATATACTCCTTTAAAATTGTCGTGCATTCGTTTTTTATTCATTTCTCAATTCAAATCATAGACTCGTTACTTTTTCTATGAGCAAACTACGACATCTGTGGCAAATAAAAATAAAAACTGCCAAACTTATTACATTGGCAAATTGCAAATGTAACAAGAGCACACTTCTGAGAAATGTATCAATTCTATTACTATCAAACTCTGCATACCATTCCCATAGCCAGATTAAAGAATGCAACAATAAAAAATGAATCTCAAAATGAACAGAGTGTCCGACTTTCAACGGTGTCGAAAGAGGAAGAGGAATGCACGTGCACTCGAAAAACATGGCTCGGGTCACGTTGACCGCTACCACTGGTCTTTAGAACAAAATAGAGGTACATAATTTATAATCTCTCAATGAACATTTAATAAATCAATATACCTATAATACAGAAATGAATCGCAAATTGAGTTGGTAGGCGCATAATTCAACAACGCCTTGACCAATTGACATTGACATTTTTTGTAGTAATCTTTGGAACCGCTGGTGGTATTTCCAAAATTATTTCACTGCTATATAGCTACAATGTTCCTGAGTGCTATATAGGCTATTGCCTTAAACGCTGCTCTTTTTAAAATCCTAAGTATAATACATTACCTTCATTAGCGTGCGAAGTCGTGGCCGCGGGCAGAAGCTAGTATGCTTATAAACTTACTTATTTAATGTAATATGCTTACAAGACTCAATCAATACTATAATAAAATCTGGCAAAAGGACGAAAGTCAATACAAATAAATCAGCAGAAAGCCATTATTTCTTAGCTTCCATCATTTTACCAGAATCTCAATACAATAATCTTTAAAATCGGTATTAATACTGCTTATCCCGTCTACAAAGCACAACAAATCGAAAGCAGTTAACGAAACACGTGTCTCAGAAACATGTTCGCAGTCACGTTTACTGAGTCCTTGTAAGCGCATTTGTGTTGGGGACATCTCTCGTAAAAAGGATAGAAGCAGCAGACAGTTCCAAAAAGGCCTATTGCTTATTTTACTAGATAAAATGGAAACCTACACTAATATTATAATAGAAAATATTTGATTGTTTTAATTAAATAGGTTCTGAACTGACTTAAACAATTTGAAAAATTCAAATCTAGTAAGTAATATATGTATGTATATAACGTTTATTCTGAAGTAAAATGGATAATCTCTGCTTTAAAGGTCTAGTAGATATAAACGAATATTTTAAAATGGATATCAATGATTTTAAAATGGCTCTCATTGCATTTTAGTTTTGGACTTCCCGAAAGTTTCAAACAAGCTTGAATGTGTCGCCATTTTATTATTATTAATAAAAACTAAATAGGTTTATAGATCCAAAGTTTTGATATAAAGCTATCCAGCAAAAACAATTTGAAGCAGTCATATACGACAATCTACATTCGACAGTGAACATTGGCAACAGAATTCAAATTCAATTAACAGCTAGCCAGTTCCTGGTATAATAACTTGCATTGGCCGATCTCATTGTGAGGAAGAAACCAATCAGTGGTCGGAAACTCTATATAATCAGGTTACTAGGAATACATTATAGAGTAATGGAAATATGAACACGTGTAACCTCTTTTAAACTTTGACTTTTAAAACTTTAAATATTTAGTTTTATTAATCAACGTTTATTTAAGAAAGATGGCAATTTTTAACATCTTTTCTTTGAGCATAGACTGAAGCAAATCATCCATCAACTAATATTATCATCATCAACAGCTTGATTCCGTCCACTGGTGGACATAGGCCTCCCCAATTGCACGTTACTGAGCTCGATGTTCAGCTCTTCTCATCCTACCAATGCCAGCCACTCTGCAGATATCGTCAGTCCACCTAACTGAAGGGTGCCCTACACTAAGTTTGCCTAAACGTGGTATCCATCCACACGGAATACATCAACCCCAACGTTCATCGATTCTTCACAACAAATATTTAGTATGATATAAATGTAGTGCTCGCTTTGTACCAGATATGCGAGTCCTATTTCGACGAAATTCACTAAAAACGCCTATAACAATAGTTTTTACAAAACTGCAATGAACAGAATTTAAAAAAACTTTCAAGCAGCTATGTAACAAGAAACGCATCACCCTAGGGTGTCCATTGCACTGTTAAACCTAATAATGAACAACACACAATTATACAGAATACTGATGTTACATAACGGTTGCGAGTGCAAGGCAACGCATCGGTACTTGCGGAAATCTAAGTCGCATTACTAGTTCTTTTTTTGAATTTTACAACCATAGAGGTAAGTTTTTGTGCAAAAAGGTTGCACGCAGGTGTTCATCCGTTTGTATGGAGGTTAAAACAAGAAGTTTTGATGACTCATGATGTTTAGTGGTCTTATGCACGTTTCGAATGTTTATGCCGCTTATGAAGTATTATCAAGTTTCAATTGTGGATGAAACAATGGTTTTGGTTAAGACACATACAAGACCTCAAAATGCCATTTAGTTACTTGAATATTGGCATTGTTGTGACCTACAAAATCCGGTTTTACAAGAAAAAAAAACGGGTAAAAAATCAGCTACTTATCAGGTAAGTCGTAAAGTGAGAAAGGGTACATATTATCGAAATATTATGGCTATTATACGCCAGTTCGTTCGCGTAGACCCCATGTTTTACGATTACGACACAATTTACCGGGACAGAATAACCGAATCCAGGATACGTTATATTTCTTCTTATGTAACAAAAACGACCGAGATGTATTGTGGACGGTATCAAATCTCACTTTAGTTGCAAAATTCAAAATAAGAACATTTAGAATCTTCTTCAAAAATTTATACAATAAGAAGGGAATGAAATGGTCACCTAAGAAAACAGTTTTAATTTAGGCATAAAATGTTTATCCCTGTATGTCTTATTCAACGAAATCGGAGACAATTAAAAAAATCCTACAATATTGTCTTCTTACAAAATCTTTGACAATAAAACGATCTTACATGTCAGCCAAAAACTCCATAATAGGAGTTAAAAAGAGGTCGGATATCATTGCAACAAGCGTACCGGCAACTTTATGTAATTTATCATTGCCTGAAGTCATTGCCCTTTATTTTTACTCGAAAAAAGTGAATTGATATAAACAGGAAACACTTTTATAACAGGTTTTAGGTTCAGGAAACGCTATGAGAATTGAAAAGGACAACATTTTTTACGGCCCATGTAGACTTTAAAGGTTAATTTTGAGGGCCTTTTTTGTAATGGGACATTAACATTTTCAAGAAGTTCAGTTGATTAGAAACGTTCTATTTTTGAATAAAAACCGTTGCATATAACAAAGACAATAGAATGCCATAAACAAACAACAAAAAAATGAGCATGTGATTTTTTTTAGCACTAAGTCTAAGATAATTTTGCACGATGCAGTCTATAAATAAAACTATTTTTATTACGGTGTCTGCTAAAATTTGTTCGTTTACCGCTACCTCTACATTCTTGGGCTCCTGGTAACACGGTATGAGTGCACCATGCTCGGGGTGAATGACCGGCTATTCACGGGGTGATGATTGGTTAATTGTTTTAATATTGCATCTGTTATTGTGGCGTTGTAAGCAGTGCTAGGTATACGATAATTTATTCTTAGTTTACACATGTGTTTCTATTTCATATATTGCAAACTTTAATACAACATGTAAGGTAGGTTTTTTATAATAATGGCTCCCGATTTAGCCAATAATTAAGGCGATAAATCGAATAACGAATGTTATCCGTTTCAAACGTATGAAATACGGATACGAACATTACGAATTAACACATTTCTAGAAGGTATTGCTTCAAGTGTTTTGAAGACTTGAAGCGATTATTTAGTTAGTCTATGGAGCAAAAGGAATCAAACCTTTTTTCTCAATAATGTGTACCTTTTTTGATTAAAGACCTAGGCAATTAATTTATCCAATTCTAGAACATTTTAAAATTTTCACGTGGTATGAACTCGTACTTTACTCACAAGTAATATTAATCTTAAACATAATAAAAATAAGGAATATATTGTAACTTACCACCAGTGCCGAGCACTTTGAGTAGATCAAAATGTGATATGTCGACTTTGGCAGCGCCATTGAGATTAACTGAAACAAAATAACATTGCAATTAGTATCCACTTCTTGACATAAGATTTCCACATCATATTAACATAAAAAAAATTTCACAAAATTGTTACTAATAATGTTTGAGTTGGAGATCATCAAAAAGTCAAAATCATTCAAATTAAACTATAAATCGATACTTTTGAAACGTCAAAATAGATACGTCAATCTGTTTGTCAGTGAAGCTAGGCGTCATCTATGTTCAAATGGCATTAAACGAGCGGACGGAACTTCTCATGGTATCCAATCGACATCGGCCTTGAACAACTGCAACAGTGAGGAGTTACATAAGGGTTTTCTTCTTGTTATGGATTTGAGTAGTGGAGAATTTATGGATCTAGTCTGGTAACTTCATTGACTAGGCGAAACATAAAGCTAGCGTTGTTTCATAGTTTATTGGCACAGAAAGTCTTCTTCTTCTGACCTTAACCCCAATCATTACGCCAAAAAAGACATGATAGAATCTAAGGCAGCAATTCCGCATTTTCCATAACAAACAAAAAACACAAATCACTATCATCAACTCAAAAAAAAAAAAAAAAAAAAAAAAACATGTAAAATAGCCAAATTCTCACTACGTGTAAACAGCCATACCTAACTGTTCTCAGTACATATTTTCCGTTATGTTGTACAATAAAAGACGTGCCTACGCGTCACAACTTTTCACTTTTACCTTAGATCTGCTTTGAATCCATCATTTGTGGATTACGATTCCGTTCTACTTTACTTAAAAGAAAATTCTCACTTGTTATTGTCAGGGACTGCGCAGTTTGTGCAGTAGTTTTATACAACTGCTGGGTAAGGTGATGCAATTTTGATTCAGGATTTGTTCCAAAAATTGTTGGTCTGGTTGAATGTGAAATTACATATTTTTTTACGCACCGAGAACTCAATATAAACGTTGGTGTGTGGCAATTTTCTTTTTTAATAAACAAAGGAAAGAACTTTAGGATGAAAATGAGTTTTTTTTTATTTTTAGAAAAGTAATGTTTAACTGAAACGCTAAAGGTTATTTAAATGGCTACACATGATGACGTATAAACGTCATTGGTAGCTTGGTAGCCTTTTTTGACTTAGTCATCTAGGTCACCTAGCTTTTGTGCTGTGGAGGGCAGACCTGTTACTTCAAGTTAATTTCTGATATTCAGTGTTAACCCCAATTCATTTTAAAAAAGACCTACATACAAGAAATTTACGTATTATTTTCTGATACTAACGGTATAAAGGGTGATTAGTAGATTATATCAAGGCTAGGCATTCATTACAATGAGTTTTATGAGCTAGGACCGAAGTAACGATATGGCAATGTTAGTAATGAGTTTTCCGAGGAGTATCGAACAGTAAGGTACTTTTTACGTTCGTTGGTTAAGACTTTGTCTAGTATAATTGAAGTTACTCTACAAAGTTTATTGGTCAAACTCCGAATGACGCAGTTAAAATAGAATTTTCCGAGTAAATTTCCTCCGAAAGAACGAAATTAAAACAACAGCGTTTCTTATCACTTATGTTTAAAGTATTATGATAACGATTTACATAAGAATTGGCGATAAACAACTGTATAGACACAATGTTTTCGCTCAACAAAGTCAAAGGTTCATTGACATCCAGCTGTAATTATTTAATCTGTGACATTGGTAGTGCAAACTGCACAGTAGTAATCTATTTACAATATGGAGAATAATTTTATGCATTATTTGTTTGAACTAGTTTTATCCGAGTTTATCACGTCAATCATAACATATTTTAGGTTTTTTAACATATCCTTGAATTTAGCACAGTTCAAGCAACCCTTCAGGTACTATATTTTTGCAAAATAAAAGGTGTTTTGATGCAAAACCTGGCTTCGAAATAACACAAATTATGGCACAATAAATCGGTTCATCAACCCCAAAAATCGATACGTCATCAAACGATACTTATCCAGTCACTTGAGATCAAATTAATAGTCTTAACTCCGCGACGCGACGCCCAAGTGGTTGCCGGCCACCTGTTTCGAGCATCTATAGGTACTCATGCAGTTACGTACTTATATAAACTAAACATCCTTTAGACTGAACAGTGTACGACAAAGTCAATGGTGCGTCGACCTAATATTTACTAAATTCATATTTCTCAAAGGTCGCAAGTTACCTAACCACTGACATTTCTCGTTGGCGTCTGAAGGTGATTCGTGCGCATATTAAAAACCATAATTACTCAACTTACATTTTTACAAATATGTACAGAAATATGTTGATTGAAAGTAGAACAAGTTGGTTTGTTTTAAGGTAGTGTTATTAAGCAGGAATTTGAGGCACAGACCCAAGGTTTGTTTGATAATGAGAACCTAAATTAACCTCCAGATAACCCATGAAATTAAAACAATTGTATTCTTAACCCTCTTCTACTTAAACTGGCTTAGAGAGATACCATAAAAATCTACTAAGTAATACTAATATTTAGGCAAGTACAAAGTAACAGATAAAAAATTATAATCGGTCAGTATAATAATACAACAAATATTACTTCCTGGAACTACACCAAACAACAAAGAAAACATTGTAATACATTTTTAAGCTGGGAAGTCCCCTAGAAGCTGAAATAACCAGTTATGTAGTAGAAAATTATCATTTTTATGCAACAATGACACAATTCCATGGGAAAAAATATAGCAACCAAATGTGACTATTCATTGATTATAATATATATTATAATGAGGTATATTCATCAAGGCAATATAATAAATTAAAGAGGTATTATTGACAGTTAATCCAAACTAGTATTATAATTGCAAAAGTAACTCTGTCTGTCTTTTCTTCACACCAAAACTACTGAACCCGTTTCTGTGAAATTTGGTACAGACAGTTTGAAACTCAAAAAAGGATAAGGATAGGTTAGTTTTTATACCAAAAGTCTGAAGAACGTCACTGTTCCACGCGAACGGAATCGCGGGCAAAAGCTAGTCATATAAAAATATGCAATGAGCTAACACTACATTCAAAGAAAAAGTCTCTTTTGAATTTTTTTAAACATTCTTTGTCTATACAGATTTATTTACTTATAAAACTACTCAAAAGAATCCTGTCATATCAAAACACATTCCATGTCCACTGAACAGTATCAAGTAACATGATACCTCAAGATTACTAGTCCTTGAAAACATAGGAACATGCCATTCGTAATGATTAATCAAGTAATCAGCCAAGTACCTACATTCATAAGAATGTTTGTAAGAGACAATTCATTGAATAATATAGGAACATAATGGAAATATTAGAGTTAGAAATTCATTATTTTACACTAATATGTCCGTAGAATTTAAAACAAAAAGTATCTATAAGAGAACCCTTTTCCTTTCTTACCAAAATAAAAAAGAATTAACAAGCCAAACACTCAACCAACTAACTTAATTTGTATTAATTAGAATGTCTAACTGAGCTAAAATTAAATGGCCAACCGGACTTGGGACACCAATTCTGATAAGGAACTATTCTTATCGTGGTTTCAGTCAAGCCTTACAATGACAATTTACACCCATCAAATCGTCATAAAAGGTTTTTAATAACATTAGGATTATTAATGAAATAACTATATCATGTAATTTATTTATTTTAGATTATCATCATCTTCTTGTAACCAGATTTATGAGATATCAGACATCTCTTACAATAAGAGCATTCTGTAATGACTTCAAAATTGGAAGTGTATCTATACTTATATTATAAAGAGGTAAAATTTATAAGTTTGTATGTTTAAATGTAGGGGGTAATCTTTGGAACCGCTGGTCGGATTGCCAAAATTCTTTCACTGATAGATAGCTACAATGTTCCTGAGTGCTATAGGGTATAAAATTTGACGCTACGATTAAATGGAGCCGAGCAGCGGGTGAAACCGCGCGAGTGTAGCTAGTTTGTTATAGATATAAGTATATTTATTTCAAGAAAACATGTAATAAAAGATATAATATAATTGATGTTTTTTAAATAAAAAAAATACAAAACTAAGTTCCTAATGCCATGCTAACAAGGACCTAATCGAGGAATGACTTAATCTAATTCTTTTTATTTATAATATCCAAAATTAAGCTTGGTAAAATATAACCAAAATAATTCAACAAGTGAATTCGTACAACTTTCACCAACTTTAAGATACTTTCACTTTGAACTACAGATTAGAATCTAGACCAGATATTATTTTTAGACCAGTTCTATCAGAATAGAATGTTGAAAATAGACGTTTGAAATGTAGGATGGATGGATTGCGTTGCTAGTGCAAACTAAATGTAATTCATTTGTGTTAAGATTGAATGTTTGGCAACAGATACTGTAGTTAAATCAGTCTTGATAGGTTCATTTTATCAGATAGTAATCAATGAAAAAGATAAGTTTTGAAAGAAGTTCTATATCCTACTATTGAACTAATATTATAAATGTGAAAGTTTTGACCAATTTATGGATATAAGTTTGTTATTCTTTAAAGCAGAGTTGCTAGAATGATTTGGTTGAAATTGGGTTAGTAGATGGATGATACCCTTGATTAACACATGGGCCGTTTATAATCAACATACCATGAAGGGGAAAGTCACAAGCGGAAACTAGTTATACATAAGCATTCTGTTGTAGGATGACTGGCAGAATAAAAAGATGTTTTATAATATAAATGTCATAAGCTACTTAAAAAGGTATAATTAAATAGAAATATGACAGTCATTATGTAGTCACAAAACATTCAATTTTAAACATAGACCTCAAGCAATGCCTTTAAGTTACTGTGATATACGGTGTAAATTGGTGTCAAATCACATCTCAACAGCCCATGACAGTCCAATGCCTGCTCTACACGATATAGCTTTGCAATAATCTCCACCCTTGGTAAGCCAGTTATAAATAAAATTTATGGTAAGTATAACTTATCAAATAACATGCGCACCTGATAATTTTCTACTGACTGACTCTGGTTGTGTTGTTATGTTTAGAAGGAATAGAAAATTCAAAAATATAAAACACAAATTTTTGGTGTAAAAAATCTATATTATAAACATCATTTGAAATGTGAAAACATTAGTTCATTTTCCTTCCTTTTGCCATTACAAAAGTAGTCTACTATGACTATGGAGACACATGTAAAATTTTATAAAAAAAATAATAGACTTTGTTATGAATCTTGCTAAAGATGAGGAGCACTTAATAAATCTCAAGGATTGTACCTTTTTCAGCAGACCATAAAGCTGGTCTATATGTATTATTTTGAAGAAAAGGGTAGCTTTAAAAAAAATAATTTAATTCGAAAAATGGAAAAGGTCTTCTTTAAAATATGGAAATTAATATCCAAAATGTTGTCTCTACTAATATTATGAAGAGGTACAATTTGTAAGTTTGTATGTAGGGGGTAATCTTTGGAACCGCTGGTCGGATTGTCAAAATTCTTTCACTGATAGATAGCTACAATGTTCTTGAGTGCTACAAGGTATAAAACATCACGCTAAGATTAAATGGAGCCGAGCAGCGGGTAAAACTGCGCGGGAGTAGCTAGTTATGGATAATCCTTAACTAACTTTGCAATTTTAAGTTTTTTTTGTTTTTGAAACCTGTAAATTTCCTTTATTGTCTTGAATACTAACAAAAAGGTAGATTTTCATCTTTTTTAAAATTATAATTACTTACTTGCATTAGGTAAGTAGACAAATAACATTGAAGTTAATTTCAAAGGTATATCTGCAACCTTTGTAGTAAGTAATACCTTATGAATATTACATAACAATTATATTCTGTTTCACAATTCTTTTGTGTATAAAGAGGAAATATTGATTTAAATATATTTTATATTATTTCCTGTATGTTTTAAGAGTATCATTTTGTTAATCTACCCTTAATTGTTTAATAATAATAGGAAAAAAGTGATGAAACCCTCATCACAATTCTTTTTCTATTTTTTTTTAATAATTTGGTTTGTTTATTGCCTATATGTATTTTATAAATTGAAAATAATAAGAAATTACTGTTGTTTTCACATTTGAATAATATCAACATCTAAAATTAGGTAGTTATTTTTAGTTATCTGAACAGACATTTTGATTATGATATTAAAAAGATATGTAAGAGTGTTATAACTGAATCATTTTGATAAAAATGTTTAAAAACAAGTCCTGTTTAGTATGAGTATTTACAGTAAATTATTATTTATTAAATATATTTCTATTAATGTTATTCTTTATTTATACATATTTGTTGGAAATTTTATTTTATATAATGATATTCATGAGGTTGCTTCATAGTTTTTGCTCATGCAGAGCTTAAAATAGGAATGATAAAAAATATGAGTTATAGCATTATCCACCTGGGCACTTTAAAATCATAATTATTACTTAGAGCCTTTTTGATATTAGTGAATTTCTTACAAAAACATAAAATCTAAAAGAATAATTGTATTATTTTAAACATGTTTGTAATTGAATATCTAAAAATCTATTCTTAATAAATTGAATAAAATGGTATGAATTATGTACTTAATGTTATGAAGTTTATTTTTAATTTCAATGAGAATACAAAGAAATTGGTACTTAATAGAAATTTCATATGTAAATATTGGGAAAAAGCTAGCTATCCAGAGGATGACCTAATTCTAGGCATTTTTTGGTACCAGGAGATGGTAAATAATAGGTATTCAAAATGAATTGTAAGACTTACCTTTGCATCTTTTTCTAATTTTACTAGCATCAACCAAATTCCAATCAACTGAGTCTCGAGCTGGTGCGGGCACAGTGCCTCCAATGAGCTCCACAGAGCTGCTCCTCTTCGAGCTGGGCCCGGGCACTGGCATGAGCTCCTCGGGCTTCTTATAGTCCTTCACTGACGACACACTACTACTTGAACACTCCACTATTTCCACACTCTTGTCAATGTGTCCATTGATATTTAAACTGCAGCCATTCACAGGGGGCTCGGTCCTGGCCTTCTTAGGAGGCACCTTCTTGTGCTTCTGCCCGCTGTGGCGCCGCTTCAACTTGGTCGAATGCGAAGAGTTGCGTGAACTGACCGGCGACGGGCACCCGCACTCCATACTGCCCTCCTGATCGCTGCCCTCGTAGTAACCCGACTCGTGCTCAGGCTTCTTGTCAGGCAAGCTCATCTCGGCGGTGGCCATGGCTCAGCCGTTGACCAAAACCATGTAGACTCCACCACTTCAGACCCTCATCAATTTTTTCCCCGAACTGACGCGTTGAGACGCGCAAAACGATCCAGTCCCGAGGGCTCGACCGACCGCAATCGGTTATGAAAACGATTATAAATTATATTGCAACTATTCCTTCAACTTTCAGCGAAAGTACAAACGACACGTAAAGCATTTCGCGAGTAGTTCCACCCGCAACAACTTCACGCGGTGCTCTGTCGCAGATGGCGCTGCAATATGCTATAACCCGACCGAATCTGAAACCACCCCACAATATGCTTACTTCGCACACCGATATGTCAACGTGATTGGTCGATATGAATTTCACTTGTGACTGATTTCACACTATTGAAACGTCAAATAATTTCGTTTTGTGTATTCCCTTTTTTCAATAATTTTCTCGCATTCTATCAAAATCACAGCCTCTTCGTCGTCCAAATTACACGGGGTTATCAATCCAAAACAATCCAGGTACTACTGTTATTCGTATAAAATTTTCACTACACTGTCAGCACAGTTCATTGCACACTACAACAGTTCGATAATTTGTTACAATTCACTAGCACTACGAAAAAACCGTCCCTTTTTACAAAAGTTCTATGTACACTATATAAATAAATTATAAAATGCACGCGCGAATGAGATGCGGGCTCACTCAACGCGCTAAAGTAACTGAATTCGAGAAACGCAAAATAGAAACCGTGCGACGGTGTGCGAGCGGTGCGCTCCCCCCACCATTTACGATTTACGAGGCCACATAGTGCATGCAAAACGTGCAGACAAATCGGATAATCGATATTTTTTAACAGTCTTCCTGAGAGTTATTCTGGTACATTCAGTGCTAAAAAACGACTTGTCAATTTATAATTCAATTTAAAATTGTTTTGATTTGTAACTGAATGAAATTTTAACAACTTTGATGATCTTTAAATCGAACATGTACTATACGAGTCGGCGTTTCATGGACGTAAACAAAGAGAGACACGGTTATTGCTTATCTATTATGTAGAGCGAGATGACAAATGTTGGAGAGCGACAGAAGATATATTTTTCTCTTTCGTTAGTTCGGTGCAGAGTGGCCGTGAAGTGGTTGAAAACATGGATTGAGAAATTATTTCTCTTGACAATAATTTGTATAATTTAATTTTCAAACAATAATTTTGTAGTGTAACCATTTTTTATGGATTGTCAATGTTATAAGGTCAATTTAGTAACAAATATATATCTGGAATCTGGAAGATTGAATTTAAGGGATAGATCTTTCGTTTCTGTTTCCTTTATTTTGATCAGTGACGACCTAATTACGATTTTATCAGTAGGGCTTTATAAAAGTACATAAATAGCTTTGTAAAAAAAGGACCATGAGGCGAAACCCTTCAGGTGAACTTGAGGTGCATTTTTCAGTTATATTTCAAACTTTTTGATGCAATAAATGAAAAAAAATGGATAAATGTTGCCAACATTTTCGCGAAATTAATATTATGCCTAAATTGATACACGGATAGAGCAATATCCAGTGTTTCATAAAAAAAACTGTAAGTAAACATTTTTGAGAGTTGAGTAAAATATGGCCTTCTAAACAATAAAGGGATTTACCTTGTAGGCACAATTTAAGACAAAGATTTTAAGTGTTATTGTTACAAAGATTTATGTTCGATAAAATATAACTGTTGAGTTAAAAGATAACCTAAGTAAATATAATTGTAATTTGGTACTGAACACTTAATACCATGTGCAATTAATAGATAACTAATATAGATTATCTGTTGTATTGCCTAAACCTATATCACCGGTGTACCGGACATAGGAAAACCTTGTTACTCCATTTTTTTTTTACTTTTTATGACTTTTTTATGTAAGCGAGCACACGTATTACTTTATGGTAAGCATGCAACACCAAAGGAGTAACAAGTGCGTTGGCGATCTTTTGGGGATTAGGTTCCTGGAAGTTTAGGTGTTGAGGAGAGGAATGATTGGGCCGTCCTGTAACCTCTCTTACCAGCGAAACAAAGCGCTGTGATTGTTTCATGCCGCTTTTCAGTGAGGTCGTGATATCACTGCGGTCGAGCTGACACATTCGTGTTGAAGCATGGCTCTCCGATACTTACCTAATAACAACATCCGCTACACCCTACACCTGAGGAGTGGGTTACCGGTCTTTAAAAAGTAGAAGAATTTTCTTTATTTGATTCTTTTTATTTACTTGGATCTGGGTATTTTTAGACTCTGATCAGTCACCAAAGAAGCAAGCTGGATATCAGTATCCTTTAAATTTTTAGAGGCTCACATTATCCCAAATACATCTAAAGAGTAAAGAGGGGTTCTGTTTACCAGTAACATAATTCCGGTTGACTTTGATTGTTACTTTTGAATGGAAGGAAAAGCGACTTGTGGAAAAAGTTATTACTTAGAATTATGCTCAAGTAGCCTTACAATTTATTGAAAAATGGGCACTTTTATTAGTTATTCACGACCAAAATCGAAAGATTCGTGACAGTGAATTTATTTCTCAAGTAAAAGTGTTGCCACACTGTGCTAAAATTGAATTTACCCAAGGTTAGGAAAACCTTGGTAGGTATCAAATACGATTCGGTCATACATTGAAGGAATTACTTAGGAATTTGCTAAGATCAAATCTCGGAAACGGCTTAAACTATTCGGATAGTTAGGATTGGTATTAAAATGTTTGTTGAAGTCTGAAGAAGATGAGATGAGAGAAATTAAAACTACCGATTTAAAAAAAATCAAGAAGAGAAATAGCACGTGCTGAGCTGCTGACATATTTTTTTTAACTTATATCTCTGTCGTGGTAATTGTTATTGTCATGTGTAAAATGTGAACCTAGTTAGTTACAAACAATAACGCAATTCACATTGGCTACCTAAGTAGGTAGTTAGGAATGTTCAACATTTCTATTGTATTTTAAATGGATAAACCATTTTATTATATCGGCTCATTGTTCTAATTTTAAGGACTATCAAAAAGACAAAAGACTTGCTTCTTTGCCCTACACAATAAGTCGTTTATCGTTTAGCAACGTTCCTAAAAATCATTATGGAGAGGGCAGGTACGTAGAAGTTCTTTCGAAAAAAGTTCAAAATCGGCAATTATATAACAAGGATATGATCTGCACTTCACACGTGGCCATTTACTGGCTGGTAGCCACATTTTTGAAATACGTTACGTTCCTTTTTTGGGCTGTCGTGTAAAACGAGACAAAATGTCTAAACACAAACAAAAAAAAACATATCTAGACCGAATTGAGAAGCTCCCTCCTTAAGGAAGCCCTCTCACAATTGTTTTGGAGTGGTCACCGAACTAGAGGATTTGACGGCGTTTTTAGGACCGTGCAAAATATTGAAAGTTTGGGCTTTCTTAATAGTAAGCATGAATTACGGAAGTCTGGGAGTGTGCTGGCTCTTGTATTATGATCTTACACACACACATGGGTAACGGTTGAAAATTGTCATACCGAATCTATGTAAAGAAATATGGTGCTGTATGCCAGTCATCCAGCCTAACCTTGTTTACGCCGCCCATGGACACCTATAAAAATCTAGAGGATAAAAGGCACCTAGGAATAGTTATTTCTTATTTCGTACCTTCAGTTTTTATTTACACTAGTTAAAGGTATTCCACTAATGTCTTGTTGTGGTCATTACTGAACTCGTTTTATTTAATTAACCATTGGTAGAAAACCGGTAGGTAACTTAATGACATGTTATTGGAAATGCACACGACATTATCTTGTTTTGTCTTCAAAACAAATTAAAATGTAATCTGTTAACCTATATACCTATAAAACTAAGTAATGCCATATTGTAGGTATTGCTTGACATACATAGACATAATACTTTGACCGAACCGGGCATTGAACATGCTAGCTTGGAGTGCTCGTATCAACCCGAACGAGGAAGAAGTAAAAATAGATTATAGATAGATTTAAGTACTAAAAAAAATTGCTGGATCAATTGGAGTATTGCTGATATTTATCAGAGCAATGCTTCGGCACGAGTGGACCAGCTCGACGGAGGTTTGCTTTCCGTGTCAGTAAATTTATCGGGATAGCCATAGCCTACCTCCAAAAAGCCGGCAACGCACTTGGAAATCGTCTGGTGTTGTAAGTCCATGTGGGGTGCTGATTGCTTTGCCAAAAAATATGAAGATCTAGGATGATATAGCCTGAGCTGGAGGCAGGTTGGAATACACTTGTCACCATCCAATCCGAGTGATGGACTACACCATGAAGAGCACTATGATACACTTTAACAAGCCAATATTATGAGGACATGTTTGTAACATAAAGGAGGCCCTTGCCCTTCATCCATCTGTGGAATCCCATTGGTGGATTTCCATTGGTTGTTCATGTTGATCTCCGTTCGTTATCTACAAGGGATTCGAGAACAATCTCGAATCCCTCAATCATCTATTTGAGTCAAACAATACTTCTCTCAACATTTACCTACTTACAGCAATGTTTAACCAAAGACCTAATCTCAAAAAAGAATAGATACAATTAAAATAACATAAATCGGAAGATCACGGAAGATGTGTCTACATTAGACGCGGAAGCGTTTCAACCTTGTTGGCAACATAACATCAGTAATATAATAAAAAGTCACGTAAATACAACACGTTGTTCGTACTTACGTTTTCAAAATGTTTACTAAGAAACCGTTATCTTTATGAAGGTAATAATTATACTGTTAATCGTACGGAACAGATAATTATGTAGGGTTCTTGACTTTGTCATGGTTTTCTTCTGTTTTGCATTTTTGTCATGATTTTTTTCTGAGAAAAGAGTGTCGCTAGTGTGTTTTTGGGAAAATTGCTAGGTTGTGACCTTGAATCAACGGTTACGGCTTTGTAAAATTATCGATATTTCTACAATAACACGACGTCCCATGGAATTTGACGTTCCTACAATCGATACTAAAAAGGTTCAGCTTAAAGTCTTAAACCAATGTTTGTTGTATGACAACCAATGAAAAATTCTTGGCCATTTTGTAGGTAGGTACCCTGAACAAAAATTTAGGTTATAAGAAAACTTTTAAAATGAGGCTTCTGTTTCAAATTGAGGAAACGGTTAGGAAAAGAAGTATAGATAAAAAAAAATATATATTTTTATGAGTTTTAAGGAATCAAATGTCACAAAACTGTTCAGTTTCTACCTGCTTAATCTAAAAGCAAAACACCACGCCTCATTATTGTTTTTGACAATAGACAAAAGGTCTAGTCAAACACCACATCCTGTATGACTCCAAAAATTCCTTAGCGCGTTTTGAAGTATTATGACTAACCCAATAATGTAATAAGTATATCTAAATCTATTTAAACATATTTTCTAATACTGACCCAAGACGGTTTCGCACGGCAATGCTAATACGAAATTTCTCCACTATGAGAGTCAATATAAGCACTAGATGTCAATATAAGCATCTTCATCTGCAATCATTGTATCCATTAAAAGAAACCGTACCAAAATCCGTTGCGTAGTTTCAAAGATTTTAGCGTGCATAGGGATAAAGGGCCAAAGAAAGCGACTTTGTTTTATACTATTTAGTGATTTAGTGATGAGTTCTGATGTGAATAAAGCTAAACAGGTACTTTGGATATCCAGTACCTACCTAGTTACGCAATTATAGTAGTACTAATACTCCTGCTGTATGTTTATTTAAATGGCGGTTAGTTATATGGTTGTCGTGAAACTAAACGAGATCCCATTGTGAGAGATGTGATCCTAGGATATATTGCCGAGTTTGTCGTGATGGCCCGGTTTGAAACCTGGCAAGTAGGTACCAATGTGAGATTTTCTGATTTAAATGTATTTTCTATGATTATTTAGACGCCACTGACAGACGGCAAAGGAAAACACGGAGAATACCCGGACTTATAATTTTTAATTATAAGTTTGAAATCGCCAATCTGCCTTGGGTAAGCATAGTGAAACGACACACTGATACACACATGAACAATTCGTATGTTTAGATGTCAAAGTGGGATGGCATGATTCAATAATTGCGAGTGAAAAAGAGACAAATATGAGAAAAAGTGATACATGATACATTAAAATGTGGCTAACTAGCCACATTTTAATGTCTATTCTCAAATGAGGATTGAGAACAGTCAATTAATTAGTGTAACTCGCGTCGAGTTCAACTATTAATCTGTCAACTGTCCAATTTTAATCTGGTTTTGGCATGGTTATGGCACTACCTGATTGAGCCCAATGCGAATATACTTAATCTCTTGTTCTGTCTCAAGCCTATATTTTTAGAACGGTTTAAATTATCTATACTTCTATACTTATATTATAAAGAGGTAAAATTTGTAAATTTATAAGTTTGTATGTAGGGGGTAACCCTTTTGAACCGCTAGTCGGATTGCGAAAATTATTTCACTGATAGGTAGCTACAATGTTCCTGAGTGCTATAGGCTATAAAACATCACGCTACGATCAAATGGAGCAGAGCAGCGGGTGAAACCACGCGAGAGTAGCTAGTTACATTATAAAGTTGAAGAAGTTTAAATGCACCACAGAGTGTTTGTGACTTTTAAATTATTTTAAGCACAAATTGGATGTTAAATAGATCTTATTATCTTCCTTTACCTTGTATAAAAAATATTTATTATTGAACTTTTAATACAATAATAAGTACGGACATAGAATAAAATGTACTTATTACGTAGGTAAATGCGTTTTATTATGTGATAGGATGGCAAACGAGCAGACTGATTACCTGATGGCCTGATGGTAAGCAATCAGCGTCGTCCATGGATTCCCGCAAAAATGGAGTTATGACTGCGTTGCCGATCTTTTGGGGATTGGGGTTTTGGGCATTTAGAGATTGGAGGAGAGGAAGGTTCGGGCCTCCGGAAGCCTCACTTAGAAACACAACACTACTGGCATTTTGGGGCTCTAGACAATGAAGATGACAAGGGTGGATGATGTGAAATGAAATCAGGCAGCGAAACATAGCACAAGCAAAAGTAGTGTTACACGCCTGTCTTCCATGAGACCGAAGTATCACTCCGGAAATGTAGGAACATTTCCATATTAGCGAATGATTTATCTTACCAAGTTAAGATATAAAACTGACTATGTCCATATACAGCAATTAATTCCACTAGAGGAAGATTTACAAACAAATCAAGTTATTTAATTAGTATATTGCTAAACAACACGATACGAACGGATATCGGTATGCGTAATATGTATAAAGTATAGAATCGTTTCCTTGATCAGTTTTTATTGTAGTACTATAATTTTAGATAATACATCGTCAGCCTATAAGTACTAACAGTTGAGCAAAAGCCTCTTCTTACACAGAGAAGGTTTGCGCATTAATCACCATGATTGCTCAAGGCGAATTGGCGACTTCAAAATTGTCCAAATAAACTTTCGAAGTTTACTAGTAGGTAGTTACATACATAACTTAGAAAAGAACCGCATGGGTAGGTACTTGTCAGGTTTCGAATACGCGCCCTTATGCATGAGAACCAAGCGCTTTAACCTCTGGGTCCATGGATCATGATAATCTATCCAAGATTATCATGACCCAGCGGCCAATTGGTATACTTTGCAATTAATGACAGATCGTACACCCTAAAAAAGTCATGAAGTATAAATGTGGATGGATGGAGAGGGAGAGGGAGACCAAAGAAAATATGGATGGATTGTGTGAGAAGTGATATGGAAGACAGAGTTAGTGATAGCGTGACGGGTGACAGGACAGAATGGAAGAAAAAAACATATTGCGCCGATCCCAAATAAAACGGGACAAGGGCAGAAGTATGATGATGACAGATCGTACATCCTATAATTATTTTAATAAATTTAACAATCATAATTATTATGCCCCTTCAACGAATATAAGTTTATTTAACAAAGATTACAAACGCGGTCGTACTGGTGTTTTGTTTTTGCGATAGAAGCGTCTACATTTGTGTCTAATTATTCAATACTGATCGATGTAAACAAGCCGGTTATCACGCCTCCATGGTGTGAAATGACAAAGGTTATGATAATAACGGTAAATTATTTACAATCGAGAAAACACATATGACTAGTTTTTTTTTGACATGGCGACCTCGGAGTATATCAGCTGATCGTAAACAATGTGCATCGCCCATAGACACCCATCTATGGTATAAAAAATAACTGCCTTAAGAGTTAGAGATTTCAAGATTGAATTGAGCATTTTTGGGTTACAGATGAGGTCATGAGGGCGTCCTGTCATCCTTCCCACACGGTTAAATATCTGCTTTTCAAGATCTATATTCGGTACAGTGACGAAAATTAGGTAAAAAGAGAACCTAAATGAAATAAAACACTACTTTTAACTTAATAGAAGAAAAGTGTTCCACTTATATGTATAGAGAAGTCTCTGCAGTGCTTTTTACTACTCCGAAGTGTCTGTATGCTTCATCAACGAGAAGATGCGCAAACTCCAATACTTGTGGCTCTAGATTTTTGCTCCACTGCGACCATCGATCCTGCGACCTGAATGTGGAAAGTAGACTTTGGAACGCTGCGTCACTCGTGTCGATTTCTAAGACAGTGTTTTCGTATATGACGTCGCTTTTGCCAAGTTTATAATGATGTGTTTTTACGGGCGTTTTTTACCTTTTATTTATAATTTGCTATAGAAAAGAAAGTGCGAATCAACTAAAATAACAACGAAGAGACAGAGATTAAACTAACACTAAGTTTAAGTCACGATTTTATCATTAAACAATGTTTTTGGAGATACAGTAAACCTTAAAATACAACAGGGACATCTGGGGGATATTTTTCTGAAAAGTGTTAATAATTTCTATTATTCTATCCCCTCATCTTTTTGTCTATGTAACGAATACTATACATAATTGAAAAAAACAACATAATATTCGTTTGACTATAATCTTTATTAGATATAAAAATACCACATGACATGCTTAAAGATATCTTTTGCCACACTTACGATGATCTAAGTGCGGAATAGTTAGAAGGAATTTGACACTGCAGCAAAAAAGTGTTGGCAGATAATTAATTCTAATTTAAAATAAAATAAAAACATCAACAACAACACTTAAATCGTGTTTACTCGCAGTGTCTTCATCAACTTCTTTTTAGTCTCTTTCAGAGACTCCCCTTCTCTTACGAAAAAAAAACAATCTCCTACCTTTCTCCGTCCTCTCCATGATCTTCATTCATCAAATTTGGAACACCACTTTAAACACAGTAATCGGAATTAATTCTAACACATTCTGTTTTTCAAAATTTAAATTTTTCACTACACACCGCGCTCACACTTCACCACACAACGTTTGATGAACTTATGACCAATTTTATTTCTAATTACTATTCCCTAAGTTAAATTCATTAACGACCTAACTACCTAATCACTAATTATTAAAGATTGAACTTTAACTAATTGGTCAATTAAGTTATTTTTGGTATTAGCAAAATGTTTTTAAAAGACGTTTAACTATCGCATTATTTTAGATGTATTTAAAACTTTTCTTGACAATGCACAAGTCAATATAGATGCGCGTGCGATCCTTTTGGAATGTACAAGTGTACTAACTGATAATTCCCCAAATTCCTACCTGGATAGGGAAACAATGAGCCAAGGGTTTATTACGAGCGTGCGAACTCGTGCGCTAAAGATAGTTGTTAATTTTCTTTAACTTTATGCTTGAGATCTGCATCTTAAATGCCCTAATTTTAATTATAAATAGACATACTAAGAATGCTTATTTGATTGACATACTCTTTATATATTCGATTGATCTTTTTGAATTTTTTATAAGTACACATTTGTTTGGCTAAATGAGACTAGAGACTTTTTGAAGAAAAGTAGAGGGGAAAATTGGGAAACTGCTATCGCTTCAATACCATGGCGGTTCAATAAAAAAAACAAATGATTGACACCGAAATAGTCTGTTGTTGATCATACACGTGGGCTAAGCATGGGAGATCCGCTGGCGCTTAAAACTTAAGCCTTTGATCGCCGATACATTTGAAGGCAAATCATCCGTTAAAATAGGTCACCGATGACCTACGCGGACAGTTAACAAGTTAATATTTTGAAGTAGAATCCGCTGGCTGCCGCTGCTGCAGGACCTAAATTAAACCTTGAAATAAAATAATACAACATCAACACTTTGCAGTAGGTACTTACCATAAGCGATCTCATGCCTGACAGTATCAGCCTTCACGATAACCGGTGTCTCTTTAAAAGTGCTGCTATCTCCCGGATCCTCAGCTTCATTGTTACATTTGGCTTCCGACTCGGCAAAGTACTCATCAAAATTATGTTTACTGAAGAAATCAAAGTCCACAGCAGCTCGCTTCATTGTTGGCGTGGCGCTGGAGGGTTCCACTTCAAACTGCAGCATTTTCGCTGGTGACATAAGATCAGCTACAGGAGACGGCTTCACGAAAATATCATTGTCACTCTTCTTCGACAGTGATAACTGCAGCAATGTTTGTGGTCTCCGAGTTTCAGCTTTCTCGATTGTTTTAGGAGTTTCTATTATGGGAGGCGATTTCTCTGGAGCCGGGCTCTCGATGTCCGGTGACTCAATACCAGGAGTTTCAACGATATCGGGTGACTGAATCTCAGGAGTGTGAACGATATCGGGTGAAGTGACAGTGGAATTTTCCACTTCAGGAGTCTGTACTGGGGTCGGCAGTTCCACCGTGGGTGTCTCAGCATTAGTACCCACACTACCGTCCACAGACATCTCTCTACCTATAGTCACATTTTCTCCAATCATGGAATAATTATCTAAACTCATACGGAATGTATCATCAGGAAGCTCCAAGTTGTCTGGGATTAATTGATTTGAACTTGAACTTACGGATCTGTTCATTGTGACCTCGACATTTTTACTATCTAACAATGGTGATTCCATATTGTTTGAAAGACCAGCTTTCGTTATATATTGATATCAAGTTAAAATAATAAATCATACATTAGTCTTCACCGGTGGCCTTGAAATAATCTTGCCAATCGATAAGCGCATACATAAGAATTTCACATCACTTACACGCACACATGCGCATTACGTTCCCTTTCAATGTGTACATTCATGAGCTGTCAAACTAGTTTCGCGGCGACGTTTTCCTCAATAGTATCGAAGTTATTTTGTCCAAAACGTAATGAAAAACGTATTATTAGGACGTAAACTATTATTGGAATGTTAACGTGACACTGATACACATTTGTAGCATGTAATTGAGTTTTATCGCGCCATGGGTCTGTCTATAAATAGATCGCTAATCGCCACTCGCACTGATTTTGCCCGCCTTTTTGTTTCTCTCAATCACAGTATATTTCGTAGATAATGTCCAGGAATGTCCATTAGTTCACAATATATCGTTCACAGTTTATGTCATCTATTAGTTCAGGAAGGAATTTGTTTACTTCGCGATATAAATGCAAGATACGGCGCGATGGCGCGTTCCACAACACAACTACATGATGTAGTAATGTCAACAAACAAGAGTTCCGTATGCGAACTCGCCTGTACATTGCGCGAACATCAAAATTTAAAAGAAATCGTATGAAAGTTTAAAATACGGTTTTTATTTAGTTGAATTAGAATAATTGTTATTATTTTTCATTTATTCTTATTAGAATTGGTTCTAATAAGAAATAAATAGTGACCCAGCAGGTTTATGTTATCTGTTGAATGTATGGCGCGCATTGTAAACATTCTAGCTGTCAAACTCGGAAACAAGTTTATATTTTGTTCTTCCTATTGTAAATCAGTTTGTGGTACCTACATAGTTAAAAAAGCATCCTTTGCTTAAGTAGGTATACGTTAATGCATTTGCCTTAATTTTTTTGCCCTTTAATTATTAACAGTGGTTTTATTCTGTTTTGATATCTGCCAGCTGGCTGAATAATGAATTGACCTACTGCCCTCTATTCGTGTAAAATTGTAAATTCAAGGTATCATTTGGTACACATTCATCTATTAGGCATTGTATTTTTTAAGTCGCTCTTTTCGTTTTGTTATGTCTTTGTTTGAATGTTTTTTCATCTTACATGGGGTAAACGTTTCAGTTTACTCCCTGTAAACGTCATTATTTATATATGTTCACGTAACTCGTCACTGAATATATTATTATATATATACGAACTATTAATTATATTGTAATATTGTATGTATCTATTAATAAAATTATAAAGCAAAAATGATCACTTTTGAGTTACATAGGTATTTCATTTTACACTTCTCTTTTTTTACCTAATTTTAATCAAATATATCGATTTGGTTGGCATCGTTTACATCACTAAAAGTAATATTTGACTTGTCTCTAAACACTATGTTTTGTTATATTTTAACATCGTAAAAATAGGTATGTCAAAATGACTGAACCCAATGATATTAAAAGTAAAAAGATATAGATAGGTTACAAGCGCTCAGCAAGTGATACATTAAAATGTGACTAACTAGCCCAATATTAGGTCCATGAACTAGCCACACTTTTTTCATATTATTTTGTCTCTTTTTCACTCGCGATGATTGAATCATGCCATCTCACTTTGATGTCTAAATGTACGACTGTTCATGTGTGCATTAGTGTGTCGTTTTTGAAAATCGAATTTTGTTTAGGTAACCTATCTACACCTTTTACTTAAAATATCATTGGACTGAACCTATAATTTTCTTTCTTTTTAATTTATTATGATCATTTATTCTAGAAGAATTTGACAAAAGTTACTTGTAAGTAACTTTTATAACCTTTTCTGAATTAATTTACTAGGTGTCGAAAACATCGTTTATTTAACTGTATCGTAAATATTTGTAAAACAGTAGAATTTTTCCGACTTTTCACTTACGTCACAGAAGATTGCATGAAAAATCTTAATAAACTTATAGCCAGACTAAACACTTTCTAAAGTAGAAATATTTATTACAAACAAGAAGACAACAAGAAATTTAGGCAACAATTTATTTAATTTACAAGCAAATCTTTTATTTCATTTTCTTCTTTTTGCCTCCGGGACCGTTGACTTTCGCGCCTTTTCTCTTCCCGCCTTTATCCGCCATTTTGTTAAAACCTTTTTTGTTGGGTTTGCTTTTATTATCTGATTTGTTGAAGTTACCCTTTTTATTTTTGAATTTTTTGCTATTTGATTTGTTTCCTAGTATTTTTCTGTTGTAGCCCTTAATCCATCGGTCTCTATTGTCTTCCCAGGCTAATTGTTTTGAGCTTGCATTGTCTGTGTTAGCTACGGCTTGGCTTGACCCTTGTTTTTTGTTAGTAGCTGTCTCTTCTAATAATGTTGAGAATTCTTCTGCTGAAGCGAATAGAGAACCAAGATCGTCTCCACCTATCGGATAGATATGTTGACATTAATATAATAGGATATAACTTTTAAAACGAGATTGATATCGAATGAAATGGAATGATTTGAAAAGCGCAAAAAAAAATTTAAGTGTGGGAGAGTCAAGCTTCGGCACGAATGGGTCGGCTCGACCGGAGTGATACCACAGCGTTGTTTCGCCGCGTGAGTGAGGTTACCGGAGGCCAAATCCCGCCCCTTCCCCTATCCCTTCCCGATCCTTATATCCGCAACCCCTATCCCCAAAAGGCCGGCAAAGCACACGTACCTCCTTTGGTGTTGCGGGTGTCCATGGGCGGCGCCGATTGCTAACCATCAGGTAATCCGTCTGCTCGTTTGGCGACTTATACCATAAAAAAGCGCAAAAATTCCTTCAACTACGTCTAGTATAAACAGCGTTTATATGACAGAATTTTATGATACTACTTACTACATACCTTTTAGTTTTAGTTTGCCTTTTCCTTTCTTCGACTTTGTGCCAGGAACATCTATTTTGTCATCGTCATCGTCACTGTCTTCAAGTAGCAGTTCTGCAGAAAAGGAAGAAAGGAAAATATATATTAAGTAATCAAATTTATCCTTTTCATAATGCTTAGTTCAGTAATTATCATCATCAGCCAGAGTATGTACACCGCTGGCTGAACTACGGCGTTCCGTCGTTCCTTAGAGGATAGCACGAATTCTAGCGTCTTATTTAACTGATCTAAGGTCGAGAAAAAAGTACTTATGGAAAATACGGCAGCGTGTTGTGTAGAATTACGACCAATAGGCCTTCTTGTTTTATTTATTAGTACTTAAAACAATTTAAGGGTCATTTGGATTTCTGATGTTTTAAAAATTTTCAGCAATGTGAAGGATTTTGGAGTTAAGAACCATGAACGGCAATTAGGTTTATTTCACGTGAATTTACTGAGGTAAGCTCGATTAGTTATAAGTCATGAAACAAACATGTCGGCTGGGCAACGTGCGACGCCGCGACCCGCATGCTGCTAGAGCCCCGAAGTGACTTGAAACTAGTAGGGCTTTTCTCAGTAAATTTTCATTGACATGTGTACCTAAGTCACTATTTTCAATAAGTAGATCACAACATCTTACCGTCTTCTTCTCCAGAAAGCGCTGGTTCGTCCTCATCTCCTGAGATATTCAATTCTCCATCGCTATCTGAAAATCAATAAAAAAACATTATATTAACCGACTCGTGTGTAAAATTGTCGAATGGAGTGCTATCACGGCCTCACAGAATACCTTCATTTCAAACTACTGTATAGACTATGAAGAAAATTGCCACAGATACATAATTTAAAGATTCCAATAATTCATTAGGTACCTAATATTTCAAGAGTTAAAATATCTGAAATGTCAAATAAAACATATTTATGAGATCTATTCACAAACGGAATGAATGTAACTACCACTCATATTTTTAAACACAATTTATAAGCCGACTGTTAACATAATATATAAAACTTTATGCAAGTCTTTTATACAAAACCAACATACCTCCATCCTCTTCATCACCATCATCGTCGCCTGCAGGCGCTTCATCACCTTCATCATCATCATCATCACTGCCGAGCTGGTTATCATCATCATCGTCCAGCTTCTTGTTGCCACGCTTCTGTTTAGTAGCGGCCATGTCTGCTAGGTAGTCCAGCTCGTCATCTGATTCGGCTGCGAAATAAACAAACAAGCATTTTATTATTGGATTACATAATAAGAGCAAGCGAGAGGGCGAAACAATGTGGTTGTTGTGTGAGGCGGTTTGTGATTTCATTAGATTCATGTTTTATTTTTTGTGGGACGGAAAACACCAAATGACTTGTCTTGCTTTGCGTGGTGAGGTGAGAGGAAGTATCAGATGCTTATGATGAGTTTTTGCTAAATAAATGTTATTATTGCACTAAAGATTATTTAGATGACCTATCATAGACTTAGAATAAGTAGTGCATAGTTATAACTAGATATTAAGCGAAATAATTTGTACACCAATTCGGTAGAATGTGTGAGATTCCATACACATAACACAAACACCTATATTTGTACTACATTCTCACAAATAAATATTTTCTATTTTTCTTTCTTTCTTTCTTACAGATTAAAATGGTACCGTCCTACTCCTGTTCCGGGCCGGGTACCATACCTATATTAATTATATTTCAAATTCATAACAATAGGCAGTATTTTTTTCTTTTTAGGTGAAATATGTTTTTTTTTTTTTTGAAAATGACTATTCATTTATGTAACTTCTATCGAACGGTTGGCGCGTTAGCTGGGAAAAAATTAAAACAATAGGGGCTACTTTATTAATTTTCCTTGATTTTTTCTCTTTTTGACTTAAGGAAACAAGTCAGTTATTGGCAATTAAGTAGTAGCCACTTCTAGGCTTTCTTCTACCATTACTCCTACAGAATAAGAACAATAATATTACAAACAAAAGTTGTATACCTAAAGCCTTAGCTCCAGTGACGCTGTCAAGGTACTGCTCGAAGTCCTCGCTGTTCACGGAGTCAGCATCACTGTCATCGTCATCCGAATCATCCGCAGCATTGCGACGTTTTTGTAGAAAACTGTGGGGTGGAAAATATATCGTTAGAATTACGTATTGTAATGTAGTGTATGAGTCGCTATATTATATTTGTGTAAGTAAATTGATTACAATCAATAAAATAGAATTAACTAGCTACTCTCACGCGGTTTTGCCCGCTGCTCGGCTCCATTTAATCGTAGCGTGATGTTTTATAGCCTATAGCACTCAGGAACATTGCAGCTATCTATCAGTGAAAGAATTTTGGCAATCCGACCAGCGGTCATTACACATACAAACTTACAAATTTTACCTCTTTATAATATTAGTATAGACTAGGTTTTTTTCCCTCTACTTTTCTAAAATTATCTATCATAAGAAACAACAACAACTCCCGACAATAACAAACTCAACAAAAAAGAATTCGCAAAATTGGTCTAAGCGTTTTTGAGTTATGCGCTTACCAACATGTTTTGTGATTTATTTTTATATTATAGACGATTTTGAACGACTGCACAGCAGTTTGTGCGGTAGCTGGACAACCGGATGATACACGTGAAACTCATAATAGGGGGGGGGGGGGGACCGTTTTAATATTATTAAAAAAAAGTGTAGCATTCAACAAAGTACTTAATTATTTGGGCACCCGTCTCTATCATTTCTCATTCTCGTATGATGATTTCTTATTATAAAATAGACGGCACGAATAGCGTGCGGTTTAGATTTAGTAATCAGCGCGGCAGATGGCCCTAACGATTTCGCTGAAATTTGACACGTAAGGGGTTATCGGGGAGGACCTGCTAGTAGTATAAAAAAATATTATACTTACTCGTATAGGAACCGCTCGTCGACGGGCACTTTGCTGGCATCCTCATTGAGATATGACGCAGAGTTCACAGGTATACTTTTAAGACCTGAAATCAATAAAGAATTGTTTTAGAAGCTTAGTATATTTTGTTTTCGTATTTACAAGCAAGTACTTAGTGGGAATTTCCTTTACGTTATAGGAACCGGAACGTTACCACGTTTAGCTCTCTGATTGGTGGGTTAAATTGGAGGTGGCCAATTAGAACGCCAAACGTCAAATGTGTAGGTCGCTTCAACGTAAAGTAAATTCGCACTAGGTACTTTGTTGACTTTATAACTCGAGTCGATGAATAATCACCATCCGTACTCTTTCTTCTCTCCCCCCATTTGCTCTCCACTCTTTCGCTCCCTCTGGATCCTGTCCCCCCATCACGCGCCACACTCTTTCTTATCTCCCCCACTCTCTCGCCTTTCTTTATCTCCCTATCTCTTCTGTCCCCCCATCACGCGCCACACTCTTTCTTATCTCCCCCCCTCTCTCGCCTTTCTTTATCTCCCTATCTCTTCTGTCCCCCCATCACGCGCCACACTCTTTCTTATCTCCCCCACTCTCTCGACTTTCTTTATCTCCCTATCTCTTCTGTCCCCCCATCACGCGCCTCACTCTTTCTTATCTCCCCCACTCTCTCGCCTTTCTTTATCTCCCTATCTCTTCTGTCCCCCCATCACGCGCCACTCTCTTTCTTATCTCCCCCACTCTCTCGCCTTTCTTTATCTCCCTATCTCTTCTGTCCCCCCATCACGCGCCACACTCTTTCTTATCTCCCCCACTCTCTCGCCTTTCTTTATCTCCCTATCTCTTCTGTCCCCCCATCACGCGCCACACTCTTTCTTATCTCCCCCACTCTCTCGCCTTTCTTTATCTCCCTATCTCTTCTGTCCCCCCATCACGCGCCACACTCTTTCTTATCTCCCCCACTCTCTCGCCTTTCTTTATCTCCCTATCTCTTCTGTCCCCCCATCACGCGCCAAACTCTTTCTTATCACCCCCACTCTCTCGCCTTTCTTTATCTCCCTATCTCTTCTGTCCCCCCATCACGCGCCACCTCTTTCTTATCTCCCCCACTCTCTCGCCTTTCTTTATCTCCCTATCTCTTCTGTCCCCCCATCACGCGCCACACTCTTTCTTATCTCCCCACTCTCTCGCCTTTCTCTTCTTCTTTCTTTTAGTCTGTCCCCCCATCACGCGCCACACTCTTTCTTATCTCCCCCACTCTCTCGCCTTTCTTTATCTCCCTATCTCTTCTCTCCCCCCATCACCCTCCACACTTTTTCTTCTCTCCCCCCAATCCCTCCTAGTTTCTCACCCCCTCTGTCTCACTATCTCTTCTCCCCCCTCTCTCTTCTCTGCCCTCCATCACTCTCCCCACTATTTCTTATCTCGCCACCTCTGTCTCTCCCTATCTCTTCTCCCATCCCTCTCTCTATCCCACTCCCTCTCCCTCTCTCTCTGTACACTTAAAGTCTATCAATCTTCCAGTCAAAATAAAGTAGCAAGAATCTCACCTTTAGCAGTATAATTCTTCCTGATGGCAAACTTAGGATGGGATCCTTTAACTTTCTTGATTCCATCGTCTTGCTGTGTGTCGGCTCGCTTCTTCGGGTTTTTGAACACGAAGCGGTCCAAAAACCTTATTCCCGCGAAATCCTTGAGCGGATCTCCACTGTATTGGATTATTTGTTCTGAAAATTTTACATTTGGAATTAACCTAAAGAACTATATCTGCACTAATCCGCCTCTGCCGGCAACGACATGACTGAAAAGAACGTTATTTTAAATTTTAATTTTCAATACTAAATCTTTTATTACATGTCATAATAAAAACAGTTTGTATGTTACACACAGCAAAGTGTTGTGAAACAACATTTTATTAGACGAAAGTACTATGTCACTTAGAAAAAAATATATATTTGATACTTTTAATTATTTTGTAGCGCTATTTATATGAGTCTTGTAGCGCGCGGTCGTTGAGAGGGTTTGCGGAGCGTGTACAATGTACAGGCGCGGCCGCACGGTTAGAAACACCTGCGCGCGCAACGCGCCAGCGCCGGCCGCCGCCGGTCATGTAGGTGCGCAACGCTGACGAGTCGCGCCGACGCCGCAGTGCGCAGCACAAGTAATAATATACCTCTGTCGCGGCTCTCGCTCGCTCCCAGTTTTCGTGTTGTGTTTAGTTTTATTAATCTTATATTCACCAAACTTTACTCTATTTGCTTTTACTTTATTATACAGACTTTCGTAACATTAGATTCGTTCCCCTTCCATCTCCGATCCATCGAAAACCCACGCATTATACCTAAACCTGAGAATAGTGACTCTACTACCCTATTACAGTCTGTATATTTTACATTTGGTTAATGTTACTGCCTTATTATATATTATTTATATATTATATATTATTAAAATAAGTTTTAAATTAAATAACCAATTACAAGCTCAGTCCTCTAATAAAGCTATTTATTTGTTCCAAACTGTAGATTCCTAAGGGGATAAACGAGCAAAAAACTTCAAACTAATTAACAGCAGTTGTATTGATTCTTTTGCTCGCCATCCTCCCTAAGTTTAATTGAAGTGTGTTCGACTGAAGTGATACCACGGCCTCACAGAAAACCGGCGTGAAGCAACCACAACGTTGTGTTTCGCCGTGTGAGTGAGGTTACCGGAGGCCCAATCCCTCCTCCATCCTTAAATATCCCTTTAAGCCCACAAGATGCCGGCAACGTACTGATACTAACTTCTTTGGTATTACGGCGCTGATTGCTTACCATCAGGTAATCTGTCTGCTCGTTGGCCGACTAATGACATTATAAAAACTAATACTTAACAGTAGCTTACCTTGCAGAAGTTTCTCCGCGAACAGCTTGACAGTGGGATGGAAATGCCTGGCCAGGGTCACCAGCTCCAGGTAGGCGGAGCGGTGAGCGCCCGCGAATGATGGGTTACGAGCCGACGGGTTGTACTCCGTTATTTCCTGAAGAACCATCGATATACATATAAAATAACGCCTGGATCTTTGGCCGAATGATTACCAGTACGGTAGTTTCCAACTAGTCAAATTAAATACTTTAATCCAAATATCAAAAACGAAACTTTTCTGTTTTTTTTTATCAAATCGCAAGCTTATTTAGAAAAGTTAAATAGAAAAAAATAATCTTAAATTAAGTTTATCGATAGATCAATGAATGAAAGCAAAATTATATTTTAATTTTAATTAATAATTAATTGCATTGAAACGTCAAAATAATTTATTTTTAACATAGGAAACTACCCAATTGTTACTGCCAAGCAAGGAGTATCGTATTGTTAAGACTCACTCAACGACAGTCGCGCCAGCCAAAGCAAAACAGACGAGACGAGATTTTGACGAGATAACTCGACAAGTTTCAAGCTTCGCTGAGGGCTCATACTCATGAGCAGTATTGCACAAAACTCGACGCGACAGACATCGCTAACAGACAAATTGTTTTTTTTTAATAAAATCTCACCTTATCCATATTAACAGTCTTCTTAAGCTGTATCTTGGCTGTATCTTTCTCCTGTTCCTCATCTTTCTTCTCCTCTGTGACCTCTGATTTGACCTTGGCGTGATACCATCCGTGGATAACAGACCCGTGCTTACGTTTCTTAGGCCTTATGTTCCCCTGGTCATCGATTTTGAGGTCCACGTACGATTCTTCTTCATCGTCATCTGGAAACAAGATTTTTTTGTCAAATTTTCAAAGAATAACTGCATGGTATGAAACAAAGTCGTTTCCTCTGTCCCTATATTCCTATCTATGCTTAAATCTTTAAAAATATGCATTTTAATCCGTTGCATAGTTATAAAGATTTAAGCATACATAGGAATATAAGGAAAAACTTCAAAAAAGAAACTAGACTAGTTGTGAAAAATGTTTAATGGCGGGAAGAATTAATTAGATTTCTTTTTTTGAAGTTTAAGCATAACCAATAATTTTTGAAAATAACTTTTTAGTGAGTAATAGTAATGAAAAGTTACAGTTTGATTGTTGTTGTGCCATTTTATGACGAAGTGTGTTGAAAAATTAATAAACAAATCTCTTACCTAACAGATCTTTCTTGTCTCCCCTTAAAAGGTCCACTTTCTTCTGTTCCACCTTGACCTCATCATCTGCCGTGTCATTTAGCGTCGTGTTTACTTCTGTCACTGTGTCTTCTGCGCTCTCATCCTGACTGTCTTCTATTTCTGGTACTTCTTCTTTTATTTCCTGCGATTGATATTTTTTTAAATTAATAAGCTTTTGGTCATCTATGTCATATTTATTAAAAATGTTACTAATATACTATGGACTACAGATTTATATCTTTGTTTACTAATAAAATATTCGGTCATCGGGACAACCTTGCTTCCAAAGTTGATCTGCCTTTTTGATTTTATTTTACACACAACATTAATATAGAAGTAATCCTTAAATCACTAAATTCCGGCAACGTACTTGCGACTTCTCTAGAGTTTTTGGTTTTGGATAGATATAGGCGACTAGACCATCAGGTGATCGACGGTGAGCTATCGGTCCCGCCCATGGACGCTCAGAATACAAAAGTTATAAGTGCGTTGCCGGCCTTTTGCGAATTTAATGACAGGGATTTGGGGTAAGGATTGAGCCTTAGATAATTTACCCAAATACTTCTAAACTAATTTTTTTATGGCATACATAAGTAAGCAAATCTTCATTTGATAATTTGATAAGGAAACTGAGTTGCAGTCGCAATTACTAGTGCGTTGGCAGCCTTTTGGATATGGGAAAATTGGGGATTGGGGATGGGGATGGGATTATTGGTATTGGAGATTGCAAAATATAGGTATTGTGGATGTGAGATGGGGTGGGGGAAGGGTTGCGCCGCCGGTATCCTCACGTACGCGATGAATAATTTTCTGTGAGGCCAAGATATCACTTCATATAATGATTATGATGATAGAATAAGCCATCAACCTACCTCTTTAATCTCCCTCTTAGTCCAGACAAGTTTGACAGCCTCCTTCTTCTCTCCATCCTTCAGAACTTGGGAAATGAGGAACAGCATCCCACAGCTCTGCGCAGGAGTCATGTAACAACACAACTGTAGTAGCCGCTTGATGAATGACGTCACTCTAGGTATATTCTTGTCCTGCTTCAACGACTTGTATATGAGGGAGAAGAGAAGAGCCGAATGCGTCGTGTTGAAGATTTCCGCATTTGTCAACTTGCGATAGAGGGCGGTGTAGTAGCTGTAAAAAGCGTTGTGTTTTATTAAAGTTAATTTTACTTGCTTTTGGATTTTGTGAGATCATTGAATTTCTTTTGCCATTCTGGGTGGCGCGAGAGTACTACTACTAAGGACTATAACAGAGTTCGCGCGCTCACCGTTAACGCCCGATCAGCTGTTAACGGCGAGGCCCCGCGCGACCTCGTTTGACCTTTACACGGTAATATTGTTATAGTAATAAAAATAGAACTAACTAGCTGCTTTCAAGCGGTTTCACCTGCTGCTCGGCTCCATTTAATAGTAGCGTGATGTTTTATAGCCTATAGCCGTCTAGCCTTTTAGCACTAAGGAACATTGTAGCTATCTATCAGTGAAAGAATTTTGACAATCCGACCAGCGGTACCAAAGATTACCCCCTACATTCAAACTTAAAATATTATACCTCTTTATAATATTAGTATAGATGATAAAAAAAAGTTTCTGTTATCATAAGTACAATAATGTATTTAAATATGTGTCATTAAATTAATTAAGAGTACTTTTTTGGACAGATAAAATACATAACATCTTCACTCACCGATCAGCAGTGCTCTGTGACGCATCGGATATGTGGAAGAGCAGCGCCAAGGCGTGTATAGCGACGTTGATGCCCGCGAGGTGCACGAGTCGGTGTATGTGGTCCACGTGGGATGCACTCTCCGCCATGCGCTCTTTGTTCGCAAACGGATATGCGCGCTTCACTCCTGTTAGTATGGCCGACATTAGCCGGGAGTCTATTTCACCCTGAAACAAAACAATTAATAGCATAACGTATGGAAAGCGGGTTATTATTGAGGGGGGGGGGGGATCATTCGATTTCTTCTCTTGCCTTGGGCGGGGGGAGGGACAGTGTAAGATTTTTACTGACTAAAAACCACACCCCATCAAGGGATTGGGTGGTTTTGCCCTGATCAAGATCAAGGCTTGCAGTACATGCCCTTGCCTCGTAATCCCGCCTGAATATCAGGTCTGTTGTGCCCCAACTGTGGTCTATCACCTCTTTGAGAAGCTTGCACGCTCACAGATCCGTGTTTACGGTGACCGAAGATCCTCATTCGAAACCCGACGCCCGGAGTGTCTCCTACTTGGGCGGTTGGCACGTGAGAAGAATAGTTACCTTACATATTCCGCCTCCTCTTTTGGTACCTCGCAAAAAGAGGAGACAGCTTCCCAGATCCTCTCGCTCATATAGTAAGGAAATCATAACGTATACTTTTTAAATTATACGTTTGAATTCCCAAATCCGCCTAGATCAAACACGGTGAATAAAGCTCAAACATTTTCCGTATTATAAGATGCCTTTGATCAGCAGTGGACACGTATAGGTTGTTGCTGCTCTTGCTGCTGCTGATGATGATGATGATGATGATGACAATTTAATAATAAGATAATATATATCAAACTATCAAATATTTCCGTACCTTTTTAATAGAAGCCTTGAAGAAAGAAAAGTATATTCTGATGAGGTTCTCAGCTATCTTGGAGTCGTCCTTGCCTAGGTAGAACTGGTTGAGGAAACACACTCCGTAGTACTGAGCGCGAGGGGATATGTTCGTCCTGAAAATTAGTAAAACAATCAGATGAAAATAGGCTCAAAAAGAATTCCTAACAAAGTCAATTAAAATATAATTACTCTTTTTTATGTAATAGGTCGGCAAACGAGCAGACGAGGATTACCTGATGGTAAGCAATCAGCGCCGGCATTGGACACTCGCAACGGAGGAGTTACGAGTGCGTTGCCGACTTTTTAGGGATTAGGGATTTGGAGATTTAGGGATAGAGGAGAGATTAGGGGAGGGGAAGGATAGGGCCTCCGGTAACCTCATTCACACGGCGAAACACTGTGGTTGTGTTTCACGCCGGTTTTCTGTGAGGCCGTGGTATCACTCCGGTCGAGCCGACCCATTCGCGCCGAAGCTTGGCTCTCCCACACTGGTATCACTTCGGTCGAGGGGAACAATTCGTCAGACTCTTACTGACTAAAAATATCCCCACTTCTCCTGCTCCAGGCAGAGGTCGCGGTACCATATTGTGCTTGTCCCGCCACTACATACATCCAAGAGTTAATGTAAGTATATAATATAAACTAACCTGAACAACATCTTCTCAATATCAGCTAACACAACAGCCTTCATATTGGGATGGTTAAACAGGAGCTGGCAGAGATGGTAGATCACTTTGGAGGCGACAGATTGTGATGGATCTCCCAACTTGTTTATTATATTTGTTAACAGCATCTGTAAGTTTAATTAATATAGTTAGAAATAATTTTCTATTTCTAGTAGGTATTTTACAATAGATAGGGCAAAGTACCAATGTGACTCTTTCGAGTTATATGTAAAATTAAGTTATACTTACCAACATTCTATGAATATTTAGACACCGCTGAGAGACAGTGAAGGAAACGTAGTGGAGAAACCTGGACTTATAATTTCTAATTATGAGTTTGAAATCGCCAACCCGCATTGAGCAAGCGTGGTGATTAATGCTCTAACCTTCTCCGTATGAGAAGAGGCCTTTGCTCAGTAGTGGGCACTTATAAGCTGATGATGATTTACTGTTTAGCTGGGGTAGTGGGTTTAACAACAATATACATAAGTCACATTGGTACTTGCCAAGTTTTGAACCGACACCCTCATGCATGAGAAGCGGGCTCTTTAACCTCCGAGCTACCACGACATAACCGTAAATACTTTAATGGATATAGGTGCTTATACTATGGTCGACATACCTTCTCCCTCTCCGGGTGATGCATCAGTAAGTAAGACATGGCACTGACCGCCTTCTCTTTATTTGCCTCCACAGAATCGTGGGCGAATTTGTTCAACGCTTCCACATAACCTGAAAAAGAAAACAATCATGAACCCGGCGTTAAAACAATATTTACTATAAAGAGGTAAAATTTGAAACTGGAAGTTTGTATGTAGGGGGTAATCTTTGGAACTGCAGGTCGGATTTCGAAAATTCTTTCACTGATAGATGGCTACAATGTTCCTGAGTGCTAAAGGCTACTAAAACATCACAAAAACATAGAATATGTGTACAATTAACATATGATAGGGTAGAGTAGGTCAGGGTGAATAGAATAGGGTAGGGTAGGTAGTGTAGGTAAGTAACTAGGTAGTGTAGGGTAGCTCGCCACCCGGACCAGAACCAGACCCGAGCGTACGGCGCGTAGCGTTCCGCGCGCCTCAAAGAGCCAATAGACCACCACAGACGGGGCCCTATAGGGCTGATGTTCAGCGCAATGAGGCACCACGACGTGGGCCCAGAGCAGAAGAAGGAAGGGAGGGTTTTTAATCAGTAAGAGTTTGACACTCTCTCTCGCCTTACCCTGGGCGGGAGAAGTCATTTGATGATTTTCCCCTGACAAAAAAAGGGTAGGTAGTGTAGGTAAAGTAGTATAGGTAGCCAAATGACGGGAGCGAAGCCGCGAGTTAAATCTAGTAAATTAATAAAATACAAAAACTACTCACTCCCATACAACTCCTTCAGCTGATCCTCAAAGTACCACAGCTTCAATATATTCCGGCGAGCCTGCTTGTTGCCTGATGTCATCTCATCCACGTGACCAAGAGGGTGCTGCTCGAAGGTACGCAGTTTGATATCCGGAATCAATAACTCTGATATTAAAAGCTCCGATAGCGCATCTGTTAAGAGAAAATTAAACATTAGTTGTAGTCGCTAGGACTTGTAGAACATTACTATACATTTTTTAAATTAAACAATTGTTAAACATACTAAACTTATTGATTTATTAGTTCAATAAATTAAGTACACATATACATGGTTTTTTGTCAGATGAAGATTGCCAAACAACACCGATCACCTGATCAGGGCACTTGAACAGTTTGTTGTATAGTAGCAAGCCTTTTTTATATGCTTAGCTTTTATTATAAGTGTGGGAGAGCCATGGTTCGGCTCGACCGGAGCGATACCACGGCCCCGGGGAAAACCGGCGTGAAACAACCACAGCGTTGTGTTTCCCCGCGTGAGTGAGGTTACTAGAGACCCAATCCTTCTCGTCCCCGATCCCTAATCCCTCAAAAGGACAGTAACGCACTCGTAACTCCTCCGTTGTTGCGGGTTTCATTGGGCGGCGCTGATTGCTTACCATCAGGTAACCAGTCTGCTTGTTTGCTTATCACAAAAAAAATGTCTAAAAATTTAAAAGTTTATTAGGTACCTATGATAATGATTCCATCTTTCTTTTTGGCTGGTTTGACATTGTTGATCATGTTTCGTAACGCCGTCAAGTTATAGATAGGGTTGTCCTGTAATCATTAATTAAAATTAATAACAATAAGCTTTGGAATCAATTTAGAGCGCGTTTCTTTCTGGCGTCCTCCCTTATGTACTAGTCTACTAGATATAGACAGAAACTTCCTCACGATACGGGAGATAAAATTACCTTCTATAAAAGTGTGGGAGAGCCATGCTTTGGCACGAATGGGTCGGCTCGACCGGAGTGATACCACGGCCTCACAGAAAACCACCGTGAAATAACCAAAGAGTTGTGTTTCGCCGTGTGAGTGAGGTTACCGGAGGCCCAATCTTTCCCGTACCCCAATCCGTTCCCTTTCCCAAAATCTCCAAATCCTTAATCCCTAAAAGGTCGACAACGCACTCGTAACTCCCCCGTCGTTGCGGGTGTCCATGGGCGACGCTGATTGCTTACCATCAGGTAATCCGTTTGCTCGTTTGCCGACCTATCACATAAAAAAAGTTTTTGGAGAGAAACTCATTGGCCGACACAATGATAAGCAAGCACGATGAAAGCTGAGGCCATACGGTCTAGATATTTTACTTATTTATCTTTCTCAGTTTTTGTAAAAGCGTAAGTAGAAAATAGCTTGTTGTGCGTCTCTGTATGGCAAATTCTGCCAATTCTCAAATCTTAGTACAGACAGATGCGGCTTTACGAGTCGCAAACTTATCGAATTTAGATATAAATAATAACCAACTTTTTTGAGCTCACAGACGTAATTAAATATTTTTACTAAATTAGATTACTAATTTACTGTATTACCACCTAGTGTATTGTATTGCTAACATTGAAGAATTATTGTAGTTTATTAATCTCATAGCCAAAACAAATAGTGTATTTGTAATAATGTTTAAAGCCCTTAAAACTTTTAAATACTGTTTAAAAAAATTAAATGTTATTGTTATAAATAAAAAACTTCCTCTTTAAACACCCCAATTATAAAAAACCGCAAAACGCAAACGTAATAGGTATAGAAAATACGACCTTAATTTTATGCTATATAATATTGAGATAGAACCATAAAATAAATGAAAACAAGTATAAAAGCGAACCTGAATCAATATAGTAGCGGCTGCCACTCTGTCCCCGATGGCACCTTTGTTGAGCAGTGTGCGAGCCCATTGGTGATCTGACGAACCACTTCTGCTCGCCTCTGTAATGGAAAAATATGGTATAAATTAAATAAACACTTTTTTTGTACTTCATAAAAATATTAAAAAAATTGTTTAACTACTGCTAGTTTTGTTGCTTAGATAGATACAAAAAAAAATTTCAACCATAGAACTTATTCAAGCCTTATGCTATGTTCTGTGATTGATGTTGATTTTTTTTATCATGACTATCTTGATTGATGGCAAGCAATAATAATTAACTTACTTGTCTCATAGGCCATGGTGTCCCCATGGAGGGCACTGCTTGCCTCCTTCCTCATCTCCTCAATCTGATCCTGTGTTAACGTCTTTGATATTGATGGCTCTTCAGGCATCTGTAACAGTAATGTTTGAATTAAAGAAAACAAGGACTTTGTAGTATATTTTGTTCTTTCTAAATTGTAAATAATGATTTGTATGTTGCAAGTTGTTTTTATGTGATAGAACAACTCACAATCAAGCTGAACACTATGCACCTGCAAAAACCGGGCAATTACGAGTGTGTGGCCTGCATTTTGAAGATTTAGGGATTGTGGAGGAAGGATTGGGCCTCTGGTAAACTAACTAACTAACTTGCACTGTTAAACAATGTAGTGGTTGTTTCATGCCAGTTTTCCAGGTGGTGCTGAACTATTAATGCTAAATCATAGCCCTTCCACACCAGAGTGGTTGCAAGTGGATCTATTCGGCAAGGAGTTCCTAGTTTGTTTGTTTGTTTTTTTTTTTGTTTTTGCCCAGTGTGTAAGAATAGGCTATTGTATACTTTTTATGTAACTGGTGAAGAATTAATTCTATATTTCACGCTGCTTTTAATCCCTGAAGCAAAAGGCTCTACCTATCTGCATTAGTTAACTTGGCAGAATTAGAATTTAGAGCTTGTTTCACAAGATTTGGATTGCCAGCATGCACCAGTTAAATATCAAAATGAAATGTTATTTGTATGAATTATGTGGCACATAAGTTGGTCAAGTAATGATATGAAGATGATGGAACAGGCCATTAGAGCTTGAATGATATCATTGTAATTCATGTACCAGCTATGTATACTAGAATTTAAATGTTATTGCTAAATAATAATTCTGAATCACACATTTTTATTTCAAGATAAAAACTATATTAAAACAGCACAGTCAGACTTCAAATTATGTTATTATAGTAACAATAGTCAATCTGTATATAAACAATGATTCTAATCATCAATAACATGTTATATTTAATTTAAAGCAAGTTGAATATTTTATGGTTATGTGAATAAGTAAGTTGCACTTGCAAGAAATTGCGCAATACATAAAAAGGTCTGATATTTCACAAACTTTACATAATGATAAGATTATTATAAAGAAAATAAAGACTGTACCTGATGATACCACTTCTTTTTATCCTCATATTCTAAGGTTTCAGCGAAATGCTTCGCAATACCTTGCCCTTTCTTTGTATCGGCATTTTTGTCAGCTAACCCGTAATTTGTGTAAGCTTCATCGACTAATATGTTCTCTTCAAACCTTTTGTGCTTCATTTTCACTTATTTATCATTAAACGAATCAATTTAAAATAACAAAAACACGTGAAAGACCACCACTTCCCATGCTCCTTTGTTGACGTTAATTTGACGTTTATGAATTTGATTTTGACAATAGTGTAGATTAATAAAGTTTTATTCCTTTTCATGCAGTTCTCGGAACTTCATGAACGGTTCAGTTTCAGGGAACCGTTTGTCTTGGTATGGCCATGTGAAAAGGAGGGATGAAAAGCATGTAACAAAAAAAGTCATGAGTATAAATGTGGATGGATGGAGAGGCAGGGGGAGACCAAAGAAAATATGGATGGATTGTGTGAGAAGTGATATGGAAGACAGAGGAGTTAGCGATAGCGTGACGAGTGACAGGACAGAATGGAAGAAAAAAACATATTGCGCCGACCCCAAATAACACGGGACACGGGCAGGAAGATGATGATGATGATGCAGTTCTCGGGTAAATATACCTATTTTTTCTAAATATAGCCAAATATTATGTATACACGCCGTATCCTTGCTCAGAATCAAAAAAATGTTCAACAAGGATCTATGCGATTTAATAATGATACATTTTTATCACATCAAAGAATTAAAGGCGAAACGTGGTAATCTGCCATCATCAAAGTCGTAGTTTTGTTAGAAAATTCTATAACGAAATACTATGCACAGCAGTGAACACACAGGTACCTATTGTGTTAGCTTTGTAAAGAGGAGTGATTTGGAATACTGAAAAGCAAATACTGCTTCAAAACTCAAAACTGTATATTTTAACTTTGTGTTAAATAAAATAACTAGCACATCTAAACGGCAAATAACAAGCACCTTTTTCAAATAACGATGATGATTTAATAAATTTTTATCTACTTATTATGTTATTGAATATGGAACTTCTTCAGTATTACTCAAAATAGTTAACTTAGAATTCTAAAGCAACTGCCACAACTGTGCTGTGGCCCACAACAACAGTGTTGTAAGTTAACAGTGCATGCCTACTTCTAAATCTATCTATGTGTACAAAACACGAATTGATACAGTACTCATAGTTTATCTTATCCGTCGAGCCCTTTTGTATTGCCTGACGCCATGTCCATTAGGTATGCCTTGGAAGTTGGATATCTTTAGTGTGTCGAGCCTAAAGTTAGCCTGTAGCATCAAAGTAATGCACATAGTTTGTTTAAATATCTTTCAAAACCAGAGGGCTTGTCTTTTCTTCTGTCGATCAGAAATTAAACATTGTCATTGGCACTTTCCCTGTTGACACAAAATTATCTACCGAGTAACTTTGACATAAATACGTAACTTTTAAATATATTAAATATACAATAAGAGAAAAGGCACTACTAATTCTAATTTGGTTTGTTTAACGTTATTATTTTCGTTCATTGTTCCTATCAACCTCATAAAGTTGGGATTCCACATAGAATTCTGCTTAAAAGACTAGTATTGTAAACTTGAAATTTTTAGGCGTGTCAAAATGTGTGGATTATTTTGATACAACAATATAAACCTGGATTCTACACAGAATTGTGCTTAAAAGACTAGTATTGCAAACTTGAAAATTTTAGGCGTGTCAAAATGTGTGGATTATTTTGTTACAACAATATGAACCGTATGTCCAATGGTTACGATATATATTACGTTGACGGCAAATCGTCGATTTGTCACTCATTAAAAAAAATAACTTTGATAGTTTCGGGCTGTGCGGGGGGCTGTGCTTCGTCTGTTATTTTCATCAAATATTTCAATAGAAATATAATTATAAGTAGAAATACTATAAATTAAGTAAAATGGATGAGAAAGGAAGAAAAGTTATCGTTTGCGACAATGGCACAGGCGTAAGTTCATATAAAAATGGTGATGTAAAATGGTGGTTTTGATAAGAGCTTGAATCATCGTTTTTCCTCATGTTATGTTGTCGGTTTTAGTTCGTGAAGTGTGGATATGCGGGGAGCAACTTCCCAGCCTTCATTTTTCCGTCGATGGTCGGCCGGCCGATCATCAGGGCGGAGAACAAGATCGGAGATATTGATGTTAAGGTGAGTTTCAAAACTGTGGTAACTCAGGTGTGTAGCGGAATTCATCCGTATCCTGTCTATGAAACTATCGTCATAACTGCAATACACGTCGTTATCCTGCTACAATAATGATGTTTGCTAAGTACTAAATAAATTACACAAACATACAAGTCAGAAAAACCTAAATAAATTACAGCATCTCCAATTTAATTAAAGAAATAAATGTTACAAATGTTACTATAGACTTTTAAAATGACATTGATTCACAATATAATGGAGACTCCTATAAGGGAGCCTTCCTTCACAAACAAATTCCACAATTAGGAACAACACTTGTTTAGAAAGGTTTAAATAAATAAAACTTGATTCACAAAAGATTTGTAGGTAAAATGTAATAAGTAAAGCATAAAACCCTTTGGTAGAACTAAGTTCTTAAGAATCCCTTCTTTTTGTTTGAAAAGTGCTTGTTTTAAACATAAATATAATATTTCAACTTAATTTTAAAATTAAAATGAAGAATAACTTCAATTATCAACAAGCAAGTTTTTATTTGCTTACAAAAATAAAATTAAAGATACTATGAAAATATAAATAGTGAAGTATTTTAGCTTATAATTTAGAAACTTATAGGAATTCCTGATTTTGCTGTTGGACATGATGTTTTATTTTGCTATAGGCACTTAAGTTTTTTTGCTAATTACTTTATCTGCTGTGATTAAGATATTTTTCAATGTTGCAGGACATTTGTATCGGAGTAAGTCCATATTTCAGCATATTTTATGTTATTTGTTTTGAAAAACATTGTCTCATGTTGAAACCTAACATTGATTTGATAACTAATATGTTTTTACATAAACAATATTAAGTGCATGTAGCGTGTTTAAATAATTTAACTTAATTGTCTGTGATTGTAAAATGATTGTGATAAATAATCAGATTAGGTCATTAATTTTGTTGTCCAAAAATTAACATAAATGAGTAAAATTTGAATTAGGTAAATGAAATTATAATGAGAAATGTTTAGTCACTATATACTACATATTAATCATATTATTACAGTAAATAGTACTACATATTTTTATATGATACACTTTTTAATGTTACAATAATAATAAATGATGCAGGTCACTCACTCAATAGTCAATATCTTTATTGCTTTACCATAAGTACATATAAAGGTGGTTACAATTTGCGTGAGATCAATTATGGACTATAGAGCACAGCAAAATAGGGCAAAAGGAAGTATAATATATCCCATCATAATAAAACATGTTTCATTCTTTTGTTTATTAAACCATAAACAAGTCAATAAGAAACTCCATAGTTCTATTCTCATTTCTAAAAAAGTATAATATTTCATGTGACAGGCTTTCAATCAAGAGGATGTGGAAGTTATGGTATGTCATATAGGTATCCTATTACACAGTGCTTCGCAAAATAAACTGCACACTTGCTTATTTATAAATTCTTATTGTTAGTTTTACTAACCTATCTGTCGTTTGATTTGGATACTAGGGATAATATTTGGCATATTTTTGTTCTATAAAATGAAGTTGATGGTGCATTAATATATGTATGGGATTGCTTTTCGTGTAGGTGTTGTAGGGTCAGGTCAAAGCCGGTTCTGTTGGGCAAGTAATAAAAATAGAGCACTTCTAAATAAAACACTAGATTGGACCTCTTTTACCTAGTTTTTTGGCGCCCTTCTTGGTGTCGTGCACACTTTTCTCACCATCCTTAGACCAGATCCAGATCAGATGGTCTAAATCATTTAAACCGCGATCTCTGATCTCTTACCTAGTATCGAGATGGTAAATGAAGACTTTTTGAAGTAGAGAAATCTCATAGCTCATTACAAGCTGCTGAAAATGGTAAAAAAATGTGCCAAAAATCTATCTTTAGTAGACAAATCGGCTACAGATAAGTTAATAAGACTGACTTTTAGTAAACTCTTCACAACAAACACTTCATAAGGAATGACATATCTTAATTACTAGTATCAAAATTTTTGCCGAATACATCAGCTTTTATTTTAGAATAGCCCTCGAATTGATTTACACTTCTATTTAGTACTATTTTAGAACTATCTACTTCACACTAAATGCGTAAAATTCTATAAACTATTTCAAAGACAAAAATCTTACTCTATGGTACTTAATGCTTTTTATTTCAAAATTATGTAGGTGGGAAGCTTTTTCTGCTTAGTAATGTAAGAAATTAGTTTAGGCGTATAATTAAATATATTAATATAATTATAAGCATAGATTTTTGCACTAAACAATGCAATATGTTTTAGTTATTTCAAAACTTAATCACTTTTGTTTTGCATACGTTTCTAGCATTTGTTTTTGTTTTAAAATAAAAATAACATAGACAAATAGTTTAATGTAGACTAACAAGTTTGTCCTTTTATTGGTGTTTTCTTATTTGCCACAATTTGCAAATATTATGACTTTTTATTATAACTTTCGTGAGACATTCTAAATTATTTATTATGTTTTCGGCTTACTCACCTAATAATTTGACAAGATACTCGACTAGTTTCAAGCCATGCTAGAGCAGCATTTCGCGACACGTGACTCGGCGACTGTCGCACTGCTACTGGCAAATAAGCAAGTGTGTGGGCCTCTAGCATGGCTTGAAACTAGTCGAGTATCGCGTCAAATTATTACATGAGTAAGCCGAAAACATAATAAATAATTTATTATGACTTTATTAATGCATTTAAAATAATGTAATAAAACTAGCTTTTAATATTTTGGAGTTATATAAGACAAATAAGAAACTACAACATATAGGACAACATAATATGTTGGTATATGTATATAGAATGTACAGATTGATTTTATAACATGATTAAGTTGTTATTTAGTGTCTGTATGTCTGTTAGTGGTTCTAATGAGATCTTTGTTTGATAGTCATCATGTCAGAAACACACTATTGAAATGTGATGTGCCAAACAATTTGTACAATATTGCACAGTTAAAGTAAAGAAATAAATATCGATTTAGTACAATAGTCTCCTATTCAAATGTGAGAGAGCCAAGCTTCGGCACGAATGGGTCGGCTCGACCGGAGTGATACCACGGCCTCACAGAAAACCGGCGTGAAACAACCACAGTCGTATGAGTGACGGTACCGGTTCCCTGCCCCCAATCCCTAATCCCAAAAGGGTCGGCAACGCACTCGTAACTCCTCTGTTGTTGCGGGTGTCCATGGGCGGCGCCGATTGCTTACCATCAGTAATTGGTCTGCTCGTTTGCCGACCTCATTAAAAAAGTCTTTGTTAACCAATCTTTAGCACAGAGGCGCAATCTGGCGCCCTAATTCCTGATTTAGTTTGATATAATAAGGCTCTATATAACATAGTACATTCCAATTGGGATTTTGGATCAGGCGCAATGCACTGACACTCCCTTTCGGCTCACCGAGGTCGAAAGAAAGCATTCGATGATCCTTCCCCTTTAAAAAACCTATGAGACTCTTTTCTATACTAATATTATAAAGAGGTTAAATTTGTAAGTTTGTATGTAGGGGGTAATCTTTGGAACCACTGGTGGGATTGCCAAAATTCTTTCACTGATAGATAGCTACTATGTTCCTGAGTGCTATAGGCTATAAAACATCACGCCACGTTTAAATGGGGCCGAGCAGCGGGTGAAACCGTGCGAGAGTAGCTAGTATGTAATAAAATACGTACAAGTTGATGTCGATTAACATTACAATAGTGTGTTTCCAATAACTGTTTTTGTTCGTATTGTTTTTGTGCCGATTTCAGAATATTGTTTCTACTAAAACTGTGTTATAATAACCGTCTATTTTTATAGTTATTTAGAGCAGTAATTAATGGTTTAATGTTAATAATTTCAGGACCTAATGGTCGGAGATGAAGCGTCTAAACTCAGATCCATGTTGGAAGTCAGTTATCCTATGGAGAATGGAGTAAGTATAATTGAAAAAAAAAACATAATTATTTACGGTCGAATACGGTAGTTTCCAACAAGTCAAACTCAATACTTTTATCGAAATTTCAAAAACGGTAATTTTCTATGTATATTTTATGAAATAGCACGTTGTGACGTCATAATATTTTAACGTCAAATAGTATACTTATTTCTCTTGAATTAACAATAAAAATACGAACACCAAGGATATCGTAAAATAATGAATGAAGTATTTTTATATTAACTAAAATTCGCGGGTAGTAGGCTAGGCAGGGTTTAGTAGGCTGCGCGACGTCGCCGCGTCCGCGCACGCTGCTCATGAGGAAGAACCCCTCTGTGGTTCGAAACTAGTAGAGCTTTTCTCAACATTTACACGTGAGTAACCCGCGAATTTTAGTTAATTTAGTATGTCTCGCGATAGTTATTATAAAAACACAGTATTTTTATAGTTTTATACGTTAAAATAATTTCTTTTTGATTGAGGAAGTCGGTTTAAAATTATTACGTTTGAAGGCAAAATATCGTTACTTTTTTTAATCAACTTTTTATAATTATTTGCAATTGGCCAGTTTTTATAAATCTATTACGTTTTAGGGCGCAATAAGCTAATGACTCCTCCTCTGTATGTATGTTTTATGACAAATTGTGGTCATAAACTTATAAGTCGATAATTTATTGTGGTATTTAAGATTTACTTAGATCTAATAGTCATCACTACACTCATGATGTTAAGGTTAAGTGTTATTTTGCTTGCCCAAAATGAGGGATTTTTTTTTGGGAGGGGAAAATCATCAAATGTCTTCTCCCGCCAAGGGTAGGGCAGGAGGAAGTGTCAGACTCTTACTGACTAAACCCCTTTCCCCTGTTCCTTCTCCTGCTCCAGGCCGTGGTCCAGAAAAATGACTTATTTATTTATTATTTATTTAATTTACAGGTGGTCAGAAACTGGGAGGATATGTGCCACGTGTGGGACTACACGTTCGGGCCCAGCAAGATGAACGTGGACCCCAAGGAGACGAAGATATTGCTCACTGAACCACCGATGAACCCCACCAAGAATAGGGAGAAGATGATTGAGGTCAGATACATGTTATATTAGCTTTTTGACTGCAGCTTAGCCTGGCTATCAAAAGTATAATGAATAATATTTATAACTTAGTAAGAAAAGATGATGATTTCTTAGAAAAAGCCTGAGTAATATTAATATTTACCTAAAGCCTAAGTAATCACTATATTTTCTTCAATTTATGTTATTGTTTATGATTCGTTCATAAAAACAGACACACATCAAAGGTAAAACATCAAAAAAACTTTTTTTATTAATGTTGCCCCACACTATGATTTTTTCCTGTGTGCGTCTACAAACATTCAATGACCCGGATCAACAATTTACGGATCACACAAACAGCTGTTCCGTGCGGGAATCCAACCCGCGACACCTTGCACGGCAGCCAGTTGCCCAGCCCCCGCACCAACCGTGCAATCTAATTTATACATAATATGTTAGAATTTGCGATGAAATCTGCCACGACGCTCCGCTTACTCTCCTTTCCCTGGAGGTTTTTAGCCAGCAAGAGTCTGTCACTCCCTCTCGCCTTACCCTGGGCGATAGACATAATTTAATGATTTTCTCCTCACAAAAAAGAGTGCATTCGGTTTTAAGCTTAGGGCGTATAGTACCCTCAATAACCTTGATCATGCTAACGCACGACTGGTGCAAGAGTGCTGCCCACTTTGTAGTAAAAATTTTAAACACAAATTGATATATAAAAAAAAATTAAGTAAAACAAGTCATTTAAAAGGAAAAGGCATTTATTTGAACAAAATAGCGTGTTGGTAAATATTTTTTACAGCTTAACTATTTGTCATAAGAAAATAAAATTTTACTCACATTGTAGTACCTACATGAATCTACAGTAAACATATATTTTTTTTTCAATCTTTACATCCAACCTTTAATAAGGAATGGGCTTTATTAGAATGTAACGTTTCAGGGGTTAAAAGGCGCGTTCTCTTTTCAAAAATAAGCCTCTTTTCACCTTAGAAATGTAAACAAGTTACGTTGTTTTTAATAGAAAATTGTAATTTTCCAGGTAATGTTCGAGAAGTATGAATTTGACAGCGCGTATATCGCCATCCAAGCAGTGCTAACGTTGTATGCCCAAGGACTTATTTCTGGAGTGGTCGTCGACTCAGGTGAGTTATAAAACATTTCACGGCTGGATTAAAAGTTAGACGGTTCTAGATGAGAGGGATCAATTTTTTTTTTTATATTTAATAGGTCGGCAAACGAGCAGACGGATTACCTGATGGTAAGCAATCAGCGCCGCCCATGGACACTCGCAACGGAGGAGTTACGAGTGCGTTGCCGACCTTTTAGGGATTAGGGATTTGGAGATTTAGGGATTTAGGAGGGATTGGGAGAGGGGAAGGATTGGGCCTCCAGTAACCTCACTCACACGGCGAAACACAACGCTGTGGTTATTTCACGCCGGTTTTCTGTGAGGCCGTGGTATCACTCCGGTCGAGCCGACCCATTCGTGCCGAAGCATGGCTCTCCCACACTTAAATTCAAATTCTCTTTTCAAAAATAAATAGTTTTTCGTTAGTCTCGCTAAAACTTTGAAATGCATAAACACCACTGCAGCACTTTGCATGAGAACCATCAATGTATTTTATTTATAAATAACTTATGAACTCAGATCGCGTCATTTCCATCTTAGCTTAAACTTATCTTCCAAATACATAATAAAAAAATACAAAATAAAAAGCTAAGAAAAAAAAGCTATTTAAATACAACTACAAGCTAATTTATAAACAATTCGAGCGAAAAGTATTTTATGATTGGCCATTCTAGACCACAATTGATCAATCATAACACTAAAATATCAGATCATCAGCCTAAAAGTGCCCACTGCTGAGCAAGGCCTTTTCTCAGCAGAAGAAAGCTTCTCAAAAGGAGAAGATTTGAACATTAATCACAACACTTGCTCATGGTGACTTGGCGATTTATTTATTTATTATGATAAGGTAGGCTCACAGATAACTTATGTATACAAAGTAGTTAGAAGTACTCGTTATAGGTAGTTAGGTCTTATACATTAGCCAGTTACGAGCTAACCAACATTCTTAAAATGATGCGTTTGTACAGACAATATATTATATAGAAATTATATCTAGAACTAATCAAATTAACATAGGACAACAGTATTTATCATAGAAAAATAAATAAAATATGTATATACATTTATAAATTAAGAATTATGTTAGATTAATGTATTATGGAGTAATTATTTAAACTTATGATTACAAATTATAAGTCTAGGTTTTCTCACGGCGTTTTTCTCCACCGTATGTCAGTGGTGTCTAAATAAATCATAGATAGTAGGTATATATGTATATGAGTACCTACTATCTATGATTTAGATCAATAATATCTCCTATTTAGATCATAGATCTAAATGATCTAAACAGATCATAGATCTAAATATCTATGATCACGGTGCAGTCCAACCGTGCAACCGTTGGACTGCACGGTTGGTGCGGTGGCTGGGCAACTGGCTGCCGTGAAACGTGTCGCGGGTTCGATTCCCGCACGGAACAACTCTTTGTGTGATCCACAAATTGTTGTTCCGGGTCTGGGTGTCATTGTATGTAAAATTGTATGTTTGTAACCGCACCCACGACACAGGAGAAAATCCTAATGTGGGGCAACTTTTTTTTTAAGAAAAAAGAAAAAGAAAAAAAAAGAACATATAACTCGGAAAAAGTCACATTGGTACTTGCTAGGTACATTGATCAAGTCAAATTAGTCAAAAAATAATAAATTTATTGTATTGAAATGTTGAATTAATTTATTTTTGACCAAGGAAACTACGCAATTGTAACGTTAATTAGACAAAGGTAACCGAATTAAAGATTGATTGTTTATACCGCTCTCTCAGAATAAATTTGTTAGGAAAACTATATTTGAGATTATGTTCTTCTTTTATCAGGTGACGGTGTGACCCACATATGCCCAGTATACGAGGAATTCGCGCTGCCACATCTGACGCGGCGGCTCGACATCGCCGGCAGAGATATCACACGGTATCTCATCAAGGTTCGTTTGTTTTATTCATTCACTAGCTACTCCCGCGCGGTTTCACTCGCTGCTCGGCTCCATTTAATCGTAGCGTTATGTTTTATAGCCTATAGCACTCAGGAATATTGTAGCTATCTATCAGTGAAAGAATTTTGGAAATCCGACCAGCGGTTCCAAAGACTACCCTGACATAGAAACTTACAAATTTTACCTCTTTATAATATTAGTATAGATTTTAGGGCTGTTTTTTCAATAGTCAGATTAATGTTAACTGAGGAATAAAATTGTTGCTGTCACTGTCTTATACAAACATTCTTACGCGACAGCATCATAATTATTCCCCAGGTAACTTTTACCTAACCATTGAAAAATCAGCCCTAAATAAAAGTATAATAAACAAGTTTAATAGATACAAACTAAGGCTTTTGTTCGTCTCCGGCCACCGTAAGCGCGGGTCTGCGGACGGCGAGTAAGGTTAGCTTGCCGCCCGACCAGAACCAGACCCGAGCGTACGGCGCGTAGCGTTCCGCGCGCGCCTCAAAGAGCCAATACACCAACACAGACGGGGCCCTAAAGGGCTGATGTTCAGCCGGGGTAGGCGCAATAAGGCACCACGGGCTCAGCCTAAAACAGAAGAAGACACAGGCGGTTTTTTTAAAAGAAGGCGGAAGAAGTCATTTGAATTTTCCCCTCACCACTAAAGGCTTTTGTTCCACACATATAAATAATATTCACAGTTAGTTGATGCATTCCATTGGCTTTAAATTCTAATTCTTATTAACAAAATAACTAATAAACATAATCATGTTATTTTCCTTCCAAAACAACAAGTTAGAAAGATTTTTTTAATTATTTATTTATTTAACGAGCGTTACCTGTTTAGATTCGATCTTAACCGGACCCGTTAGCTCAATTAGTTCGAAACTAGTCGAACATCTCAATTGACATTTAATTTCGATTGTAACACATTGCGACTACTATGATGAACTATTTTTTATTTGATCTTTGACTTCCAGCTCCTTCTACTCCGAGGGTATGCCTTCAACCATTCAGCTGACTTCGAGACAGTGCGCATGATGAAGGAGAAGCTCTGCTACATCGGGTACAACATCGAGCAGGAACAACGGCTGGCTTGGGAGACTACAGTGCTAGTCGAACCTTATGTTGTAAGTATCAGATGAAGTTATTGATGCAAGCGTTATAACCTCCCCCTGCCCCATACTTCGGCACGAATGGTTTGGCTCGACCGGAGTGATACCACGACCTCACAGAAGCAGTACCGGCGTAACACCCACTTAAGGGAAGCAATATCAAGTGTTAGTTTTTTGCTGATCGTATTGATTTCGTCAGAGTCACTCCTTGACCACAAACTCTCGAAAAATCCATCCAAAAAGATGTCAATTAAAATATGCATATGCACAGAGCGTATAGCACAGTTCTGAGGGTTTGCACCAAGAGAGGCAGTAGACTCCAACTTTAGACTTTGCCGCCTTCCAGAGTTTTCGCCTTGGGCCATCGCCCCATCACGCCCTCCCCTAACGCCGGCACTGCACAAAATAATGGTGTGAAACAACCACATCGTTGTGTTTCGCCGTGTAAGTGAGGTTACCGGAGACCTTATCTTTACCTACCTCCCATCCCTCCCCAATCCTTGTGAGAAACAAGACCCCTTATCCCCATATAAAGGTGTATAATGTTTTTAAAGAAACGTAGATGACAAATGTATTATCTCTGCAGCTACCAGATGGTCGTGTGATCAAAGTTGGAGGGGAGAGGTTTGAGGCTCCTGAGGCGTTGTTCCAACCGCACCTCATCAACGTTGAGGGTCAGGGCATCGCTGAGCTGGTCTTCAATACCATACAGGTGAGGATTCACTGGATATTTTTTATTTTTAATGACTTGAAGTTGATGATGACTGTTTCTCATACATCATCAGGCTGGGCCGAGTACCAATGTGACTCTTTCCGAGTTATAATGTACTTTCTATGATTACTGAGACACCACTGACATACGGTGAAGGTAAACATAGTGAGGAAACCTGGACTTATAATTTCTAATTGTAAGTTTGAAATCGCCAACCTGCCTTGAGCAAGCGTAGCAAACATTGGTACTTGTCAGGTTTCGAATCTACACCCTCATGCATGTTGCCATGACCATTGACCTTATCTTTATTTATTATTTAGGCTGCCGACATAGATATGCGAAACGAGCTGTACAAGCACATCGTGCTCTCTGGGGGCTCTACCATGTACCCAGGCCTGCCCTCCCGCCTCGAGAGGGAGATCAAACAGCTCTACCTCGAGAGAGTGCTCAAGAACGACTGCGATAAGCTGGCTGTGAGTAGACCATACAATAACGTGAATTTAACTATTTCGCTCTAACGACAACTTTTGTTTATGAGTCCCGGTGTACCTCGAAAATAGTCGAGATAGGATTAAAAAAAATATTAAAGTTAGTCTCTGTTAGCGACATATTTTTGTGCTATTTCAGATCTGTCTTTGAACTAAGTTTTATTTTAATTAGTTTTGTTGTTTTAGCATGAAAAAGTAACAAATTATTTATTTAATATAAGATTGAGTTGTTTTTAACTGTATACTGGCTTTCCGCCAGCGACATCATCTGCAAAGCTTATTAAAAATACATACATTAACCTTCCTTCATTATATCTATTAACAACCGCATCAAAATGTGTCACGCAATTTAAAGCATACACAAGGACAGACATCGGGAAACGACTTTGTTTTATACTATGTGAGTGATATATCAAAATGAAAAATAGTTTCATTACATAGCTTTTTTGTCTTTTGTCTTTTTAAAAAACGTTGCCCTACTGTAGGATTTTCTCCTGTTGTGGGTGCGTTTACAAACATACAATTTCACATACACATGACACCCAGACCCGAAACAACAATTTGTGGATCACACAAAGTGTTGTTCCGTGCGGGAATCGAACCCGCGACACGTTGCACGGCAGCCAGTTGCCCAGCCACCGCACCAACCGAGCAGTCAGTATAAAATAAAGTCGTAGCATAAAATAAAGTCGCTTTTTCTATATCTATATCCTGTTTTTACACTACTTTTACTTTTATGTTTTAAAGATTTAAGCATTTGACTGCCGACAAAAACTGTTGAAGGCTAATCCTCTGCTAGCGTCGGACAGCATTGTCCGACATAGCGTTCTAAGTGTTAAGCATACCGACGTATGCTTATATAAACTTATATTTATAACTACGCAACGGATTTTGGTGCAGTTTTTTTAATAGGTAGTGTGACTAATGAGGAATATTTATATGTATAATAACATCCAATAAACACTGGATAAATTTAATATCAGTATTGCACCCGTGGGAAGGCAGGGTGGGTGGCTAGTTCTACAATAGAACTAGAAATCATTTTTAACACCTTGACTACCACTACGATTTTAACAATGACGTCTCAGATGCTGCCAAATTCTCGTACATTTTACGTTGAACTCAACGAGTCCTCGGGGCTGGAATAAAATTTATGTGGACTCTGTGGTCGATTCGGTGGCAATGAATGTATTATGCACGGCAAAAACATATCCTAAAAGTAATGTTGTAACATATCATTTGCAGAAATTCAAGATCCGCGTGGAGGACCCGCCCCGACGTAAGGATATGGTATTCATAGGCGGCGCCGTCCTCGCCGAGGTCTGCAAGAACAGGGACAACTTCTGGCTCTCTAGGAACGAGTACCTCGAACAGGTAATCTATACTAATATTATAAAGCTGGAGAGTTTTTTGTTTGAACGCGCTAGTCTCCGAAACTACTGGTTCGAATTGAACAATACGGTAGTTTCCAACTAGTCGAATTCAATACTTTTATTCAAACGTCAAAAAGGATACTTTTCTATGAATTGTCGTCATAGTATGTAAGTTTGCGTCAAATAGCTTACTTATTTCTTAAAAATTTGCTAAAAAATATCGAAAAATTTTTTTGTGCCGATAAATCGATGAATAAAAGTATATTTATTTTTGAATATTTCATTGTGTTGCAACGTCGAAATACTAAATTCTTTTTGTGTTTGTTAAGGAGTCGAGGAAGTTTAATTAGAGGCTATAAAACATCACGCTACAATCTCTAATCAACGGGTCACGCTAATCACTCTCTTATCAATCTCTAATCACGCTAATCAACGGGTGCCGAATAGCGGGGTATACCTGATGGTAAGCAATCAGCGCCGACCATGGACATCACGCCGTCACCACAGGAGTTACAGTTGCATTGTCTGCGTTTTGGCGATTAGGGTTAGGCGATTTAGGGATTGGAGACGGTTTGGGGGAAGAATTGATATCATAAATGTTTACTATTTGTGTTGTGTCACACAAGGATCACACTAGAACTTTTTTTCTATGTCATGGGTGCTATAAACACATTTGACTTCAACCTTGTCCTGGAACAATATTGTGGATCAATGATTTGTTCCGTGCGGGAAATGAATACGGTAGTTTCCAACTAGTCAAACTCAATACTTTTATCCAAATTTCAAAAACCATACTTTTCTATGAAATTTGTAGGAAACACTGAGTTATGACGTCATAGTATTTGTGCGTCAAATAGCTTACTTAACTCTTAAAAATTTGCTAAAGATGTCTTAAAACTTAGTGTAACGATCGATCGATGAATATATATAGTTATTTTTCAAAATTTTATTGTATTGAAACGTCGAATTAATTTATTTTCGGCCTAGGAAACTACCCAAATCACGACACGTTGCGTGGACGCCGGGGAATCGAACTCGAGATCCTTTTGTTCAATATTCTCACTAGTAATCACTCGAGAGTCGAGTTCAGAATATGCAGTAGTTTGGTCATCATTTTCTAATTATTGTCTTTGTGTTCTTTCAGGGTATCTCCTGCCTAAGGAAGCTGGGTCCTCGCGCCAGTTAATGACTGAATCACATACTTACTTACATGTATATAAACGGCAATGACGATACTGATATACATAAATAAAACCTACACTAATATATAAATACACAAATTTCAATAGATTCACACTAAAACTGATTTAATCTGTTCAATTACCACTTCTACAGATGTAAACGGTATCAATAAAATACGTTTAGTAGTTAATTACATTTTACAGCTCGACTCGACTAGTTTCGAGTGACGCTTGGAGCTCATAGCAATGAGTAGTACAGCGTGAAACTCGTCGTGTCGAGTTACTTAGTAAAAATTACGTGAGTAGCCTTAATTAGGGTCATTTTATGGTTATTTTACAAAGTCGGTTAATAAGGAATCGTTTAAGTAATGATTAAATGACTCTGAGTACGGTAATAATTGTGTTATTAACAAATATTATTATCAATAACGTTGTCGTGTATCAGCCGTCATAACGATTCAAAGTATTCCGTTATTTTATTTCTATTTTAAGTCTAGTTTGTATAGAATCAATGATTTTATTATTTCTATTATTACCTATAAATAAATTTTGTATATCGATTTTTTTTAATATTTATCTTTTTTTGTCTAGTAATTTCCATTGTTTTAATACGTTTGGGCATAGCATTTTGGTGTGTTAAAATAGCAATTAATTATAAATGTAGGTTTTGTAATCGCATTCTTCAAAACTGCTGCTTCTACTGAGATTAAACTTTTCAATATTATAGAGAGACACCTAGAAGTAAAGTCGCTTTTTTAAGGTGAGGGAAGCGGGAGTATCAAATCACTTCTCTTGAAGAAACTCACCCTATGTGAGAAGAGAGGGGAGTGTCAGACTCTTACACCCGGTTTCCGAAAGGCCGATCAATGTTAAAATCAATTTAATCTCTTGTCAAGTCATCAGATTGGTTGACTGAATTATCAACAACCAATCACATGACTTGACAAGAGATTTAACAGGAGATTAGTTAATTTTAGCGTTGACAAGCCTTTCAGAAACCGGGTGTTACTGATTAAAAACTACCCCGTTATATTTCTTCCAGTCCAGGTCGAAGCCGCGGTGCTAGCTTGTAAGTTACCTATAAGATTCTGCAGTTTATAACAAACATATAAATTACCTAGATACTGTAAAAAGGAAGATTAGGTACAGAAAAGGGATGAAATAATGTTTTTTTGACTTCAGTCCATCGTATTTATGCTTGGTAATTATTTTCAACCAAACTGGGCTTGGTTGCTTTGGCATTGTATTTTAATTTTGTACAAATTAAAAAGAAGAAACTTAAAATGACACCAGTATACTATGCCTAAACTGTTATTTATAATGCATTTAATTGTAATACCATCACACCACTTACTTATTTAAATTAATATTAAAAGTGTAAGACATTTGGTTCATTTTAGATCGACATTCGACTATTTGTAACTTAATAGCAATAAATAAAATTGGTTAAAATTAAAATTAACCTTAACATATGAAAATATGGTTGAAATACGATTGTTTTAAAGGTGTAAAACTGCAATTATAATAACTATATTATTAAATTAATCCCAAATTTATTAAGAATTTTCCAAGTTATAACCTATTTCTTTTCTACTTAAGTTTGTAATTAACAACTCAGTCAAAATATAATGTCACAACGCTCAGTTTACTGCCAAACAGACGAATAAATAATGTAAATGTAATTGTAATATTAAATAATTGTATGATTTTGTAATTACATACATGAGTAATCAAAAATACATGGACTTGTTTTATTTTGTCCCTACTTGTCCTAAAAAGTAACTCTCAATGTTTAGACAATACTTAGATTTAGGGATAGGTAACATAAATCGATGCTGAAAAGTAAAGTCACATATAAATTCAATGCATCATATTAATAAAAAAATTATTATTAAAAAAACAAAATACCCGACTGCACACTAAAAAAAGAGTAAAACAAGCCCCACAATACAAATTTACTGAATATAATTTATAAATGTTGATGGAAAGCATCGCAGGCGGGGACCAACAGAGGCTTATTTATAGTCATTTCTGTTGTGCACCATTTAGCAGAATTTTCGTTGGTGGCGGTCAAGGTGGTCCCCGCCTGCGATGCTTTCCATCAACATTTATAAATTATATTCAGTAAATTTGTATTGTGGGGCTTGTTTTACTCTTTTTTTAGTGTGCAGTCGGGTATTTTGTTTTTTTAATAATAATTTTTTTATTTATAACTTTTTGCTGTTTTTATTTAACGAAAATGTTGTAGATGTAGAAGACTATGTATAACGTATCCTATATTAATTACTCCCGTGATTGAAATGAATCTAATGATACCGCATACATATTTTTTTAAAGGGAAATTTAGAAAAAATATTATTATGTCTTTATCCCGTGGGACTTTTAGGATAAAATGTATCCTATGACACTCCCGTAATCAAGACAAATCTAACGATACCTCATACATCAAAATCCATCAAGCCGTTTAGGCTACAGGAGGTCACAAAGGAAAAGACATACATACATACTTACATACACTCGAAAAACATTACCCTCCTTCTTTGGCAGTCGGGTAAAAAAGATGCCCACTTCTAAAACTGTAGACTCTTGATAAAAAAAATAACTTAATACTAGCTGAAACGGTAAAATTCATACTGACTGATAAAATATGTAAATCTAGCTACTCTCGCGCGGTTTCCCGCTGCTCAGCTCCATTTGATCGTAGTGTGATGTTTTATAGCCTATGGCACTCAGGAACATTGTAGCTATCTATCAGTGAAAGAATTTTGGCATTCCTGCCATCGGTTCCAAAGACTATTACAAATATTTCAAAAACAAATTGCAACAAATCGATGTAGCCATTCTCGAGTTTTATCGAGACTAACGTATTATTTCATATTATAAGCTGACCCAGCAAACTTCGAACTGAATCAAATATTACAAATATTTCACTTTTTACCAAATCAAATCAAAATCATTTATTCCAACTTAACCATAAATAGGTACTTTTGAAACGTCAAAATAGAATAGTAGTCTGTCAGTCTGTTCGTCAGTGAAGCTAGGTGCTCCTTCCTTGTATATCTAGGAATATTCCAAGAACACAGTACGCCATGTCGGTCAAAAAGTCAAAAAGTCAAAAATCATTTATTCCAATTAGACCTTTACAGGCACTTTTGAACGTCAAACAAAATATAAAATAAAAAAATAGTGTCAGTCTGTCGGTCAGTCCTCTTAGTGAAGCTATTTGCTCGTTCCAAAGTGTAGATTCCGATGGAGAAGAGCGAGCAAGAAACTCCATGGTTACTCTTTTTAAATCAGTTTCACATACAGATTCCTTTTACAAACAGTTGGTTCAATTATGTGAGAACAGTGTAACACTAATATTTATTCAAATATAAAAATAAAGTAACCTTAAGGACAATAGACAGTCTGGAGCTGACCAGTCCCAACTGACGGCGCTCGTTCACGAGCATGACACGTACACCAGCATCGCCCAACTCAACCATATTATAGGGAATTATGCGATCCAGTGCCCATGCCACCGCCAGTGTGACCTTTCAGTGAGCATGACAACTCCAAGCTGTTATAAGGACCGACATTCTGCTAGTCTAACCAATTATAATAGGTTACAGGGCACTCACATTTACAAATTTATCAAGTCGGTCTAGCCTTTCTCGAGTTTTAGCGAGAATAACGAACAGAATCATTTAGGTTAGGATTAACTTTAGCCAAGGTTAGACTTAAACGGGAAAATTACCGTTATTTTTCGATAAACATCCATTTTTTATTTTTTTTTATTTTATCTTGCTAATTTGCTCTTGCAAAATCTCGAAAAATTTAGGTCACTTCAACCAACCAAAACTGTGTACACTAGTCGGCAAATATTATGTACCTATGTAGATACACTGAGTTCGAAATTGAATACTGTTAGTTTTAAACGTATTGAGTAAGGTAGTAAGTTTTTAGGATACATTTTTTATAAGTATATATAACAGTAATGATTCATAGAACCATGAATAATATTTAGATATTTGTTCGTGACATCTCTCCAGATTATGCAAGTACACACTGTAATTACTAAATCATCGTAATTTTCAAAATCTTCCTGTTCTGGCTGTTCTTTCATCATATTACACAAAAGTTTAAGATTCACAGAATATACTTATACAGAGTTGTTTGTGTGCTCGATAGATGGCATTGGGATCGAGATAGATCGCGCTATGGTTTCGTTACACGCGTTTACTTGGGTAGCCTTGGTTCATAATTCGAAGTGCTGATTGCTTACCATCAGGAATTGAAGATCCTGGTGTTGCGTATTTTTGGTTGATCTGAAGCACGCGAGTGCTGGCGATCTTATATTATAATTAACTGTTATGTGCTTCTGCTAATTAGAAGACAATTTATACTGCTTATTAACATGCGATAAATCTACAAGTAAACAATTAGGTATATTGTGATAACTGCGTCTATGGTAAGGTCAGGATGCAGCAAAAGTCCATTTGTTATTTATAGAAGATGCTAAATACCAAGCAATGATGATTTTCTCTTATAATAAACGCTTTAAACGACAATTTTCTTTTATGAAACAAATAATTGAATTTAAAATTAAATATATTTATATTTACCCAAAGTATAACTACAAATATACAAATAAGGAAAACAAGTCAGATAATTTACCTTAGATAGGTAATTTATGTCAATTGTAGCTTAAGTAAAGTGATATAAATGATCTCCATTATATATTTTAAGTATTTATTATGTTTAATTTTAAATATAATTAAGATATTAAAAGAGAGCTTCTCTCCAGTTTGCCTTATTTTGCTGTGCTCTACAAGTTCCAAATTGATCTCACATCAATTGTTTCCACCTTTATAATATGTACTTATGGTAAATCAATAAAGATATTGAGTATTGAGTATAAATCATATTTTTTTCAATTTTTCAGTCTATCGTAAATAATAATATGTATCTATTGTATATGCTCATCCTCTGGGATAGCCAGTAACATTTTTAATTTGTAAGAATAAATAGTTATGTATACTTAAAATCGTTCAGATAAGATATGATTATGTATATCTTATTACTCATAAGAGCTCATTATTAGAGAGTTTTTGATTTATTATCTCTACAGAGTCTAATGAAATCCACGCTCAAGTGAAACGTGGAAATTAAATAGTTATCCACTATTCGTAAGTACAGAGAAGAACACTTAAAATAGACACTACTAAAATTCCAAAGTAAAAGAAAACAAATAAAA